CCAAGCCATCTGGACCCAGGCCGGTAGAGGGAAAGTGGGAAAATAAGACATTTGCCGTCGATCTCGAGCAGCCATCCCCGCATGCACGGTCCGGGGATTAAACAAGGTTCAGCCCCTCCCGCGACGAGGAGCGAAAGGAGAGCCAGTCGGATATGCCCACTGAATCTACCGCTCCCCGCATCAGCGAGAAAGTGGAGGAAAGACAAGAGTCTTGGCTGGTGTCGTGCCTGTTGAGGTGCAGATGTCCGATGACTTAGGGTAGTAGCTCGAAATGAATAGACGAGGAGAAGGGAGACAAGGTCTTTTGAGTCTTGACCGCTTGTGATCTGGCAAGCGGTGACAGTTCGCCATGAAAAAAACCGGACGACTTTTGGCGTTGCTTCTAGTCGAAAGGACCTGTCGATCACTCCTTCGTCCCAAGGACTAGGCTAGCATCATGCTCCAGATTCCCTCTCATCTAGCAGCTGCGCCTCGTCAGGATGGGATCTTTTGGGTTAAGGTGGGAGAAGTGTAATGCCTGGTCAGGGTTTTCAAACTTTCCAATGTCACACAATATCCGCACCGCTTCTCCTTTTCCGCATCTCATTTTCAATGTCGTCGGCCACAGGTGTCAGCCTAAACTAGGGCAGCTTACGGCACTTTCTGCTCGACATTCGAGAACAGACAAGATCGACCGTCCTGAGGTCTTGTGGCCAGCCATTTCCCCCTCTCCAGATGACCGCATCATGCAGCTGTTTTGTGCCACCCATCGAACGACTCCACGTGCTGCCCAACGTACACAACCACACAGCTCACATCGTGCAAAGACTAGAGGATTTCCTGGGCTTATTTTCGAAAAGCTCCTATTATTGTTACTCACATGCCATCGGACGATCCAACCAACCAACACGACGTAGTAGCACTAGGACGAATCCCGCATGTTCTTCCCCTCATGGCCAAGCGGCCAAGACATGGGAAACTAAACATTCTTTCGCGAACGCCAATTTCTCCAGTGCGGGGGAACTAGGTCGTCTAGCTCATCGGCGCGCAAACATTGCATTGCCCTTTTTCTGGATGGCACGTCACCGCGAGCCCGCTGCCCGATCCCGGGGGCTGCAAGGAACTTTCGAAAAGCGTGCGGTCGTTCCTCCTTCCCGCCGCCAAGTCAGGTCCAAAACCAGACCACTTGACTTAATGCCGAGTTGTCCGGGAGTGGTGGAGAATCTGATGTGCCTGCTTGCCTTGCTTGACAAGCTGTGCGCCGCCGCAGGTCTTAATACGAGGCTTATAAGTCAGTTGAGTGTCAACGCTCGTCCCAAGAGCGAAGAAAGTTTAATCTTACTTTCTCAAGCAGGATAGAAGTATAACAGGAGTAATCCCCCCTGAATGCTTTGACCCCTCTTGTTCGCGTCTTACTCCTCGTTCTTTGCATCTTCTTGGAAGCTTCGTCGATAGCTTCCATTCGACTAGCTCTCTTTCCCTTCAAGGACAGGGAGCTCTCTCACTCTCCCTTGGCGCGCAACTCTAGTCTTCCTTTCACGATGCGTTTGACGCGCTCATTGCTCTCGTCCGCAGCGGCGGTGCTATCATTCACCATCGCTGCCAACGCGCAAAACGCCACGACGACTGCCGGAGGCTCAGCGCCAACGGCCGGAACCGCGGAACCGTACCAGCTCCAGACTCCGCCTCTCGATACAGACTGGACAGCCAAGGTCGGAACGAAGCCATGGCCGGAGCACCCTCGCCCGCAGCTTCGCAGAGAGAATTGGCTCAACTTGAACGGCCTGTGGACCTACCGGGCCGCGAGCAGCGATGACGACGTCAACCACCCGCCGACCAGCGCCGTGCTTGATCGTGAGATTCTCATCCCCTCATGCATCGAGAGCGGATTGTCTGGGATCCAGGAGCTTGGCGTCACCCACTTCTGGCTGGCGACGACGTTCCAGGTGCCCAGCGGCTGGGGAAACCAATCGGTGATCCTTAACTTTGAAGCTGTCGACTACGAGGCGACCGTATTCATCAATGGTCAGAAGGTTGGATTCCACCGTGGAGGGTACTTCCGCTACACGGTTGATGCGACACCTTACCTAAATGCTGGAGGAGACATCACTTTGTGAGTGCTTCTTTCCATGTTTTTCTTCAATCATTCCCCAAACTAACTCTGGGGCGTTTCAGGCTGGTGTTTGTCTTCGATCCCACCGATGCGGATGGGTACGTCATCCCAATTGGCAAGCAGACGAGGACCCCTTCGCACATCTTCTACCGGTCATGCTCTGGCATCTGGCAGACAGTCTGGCTGGAGAGCACGCCGTCAACCTACGTCACCAAGCTGGACCTCTCGGCTGACCACAACGGAAATGGTAAGAGGCGATGAAAGAAAGATGATATTGCAGTTAGCGAGTTTCATTGCTAACCTCTTACAGTGAATGCGCTTGTCCACAGTTCCTCCAATACCTCATCGGAGGTTTCAATCGCTTTTCTCGACGCGGACGGCAACACGATAGGAACAGGCACGGGCAACTCTGGAACCGCATTCAACTTCACCGTGCCATCTCCTAACGCTTGGTCTCCGACTAACCCCAACTTGTACAACATCACATTGAAGATGGGTAGCGACGAGGTCTTCAGCTACACTGGCTTCCGCACCATCTCGACCGGTATTGTGGATGGCGTCAACCGCCCGCTGCTGAACGGAGAGTTCATCTTCATGTTTGGAACCCTCGACCAGGGATACTGGCCCGATGGACTTCATACTCCTCCGAGTGTAGAGGCAATGACATATGACCTGAAGGTTCTCAAGAACATTGGGATGAACATGGTTCGCAAGCACGTATGTTCAGTCTCTATTTTGTGCATTCATCCTCAAGGGTCAGTCAGAGACTAACATTTCGCAGATCAAGGTTGAACCTGACTTATTCTACCACGCCTGCGACACCCTCGGTCTGCTTGTCATCCAGGATATGCCAAGTCTGACAGCCAACTCGGCTCGTCTGCCCAATGCCGACCAACAAGCCGAGTTCGAGCGTCAGCTTCAGCTGATGATCGAAGAGCACAAGAGCTACACCAGCATTGTGACCTGGACCATCTACAATGAAGGTTGGGGTCAACTTAGAACACCACCTTACCCGGAGGCCAAACTTGTTGACGTTGTTCGCGGGATTGACCCCACGAGGCTCATCAACGCAAACAGCGGCTGGTTTGACCATGGATCTGGTGACTACGCCGACAACCACCATTACGCCAACCCTCAATGTGGCACACCGTTCTACTCTCTCGCCTCGCCTCCTTACGATAATAGACGCATCGGATTCCAGGGCGAGTTTGGTGGCATCGGACACAACGTCTCGATCGAGCAGTAAGTGTAGCACCAAGCTCGAGTTCATGAACAGGAACTAACACTACATAGTCTCTGGAACGTTCAGCAGGCAATTGACTCGATCAACGCGACTTACGAAATCAACGAAAACCTCGAAGCGTACAACTACCGCGGACGAGTTCTGCTGAGAGAATTCCGCGAACAAGTCGAGATGTACGCCTGCAGCGGTGGTGTCTGGACACAGACGACCGACGTCGAGGGCGAAGTCAACGGCCTGGTCACCTACGATCGCCGCGTTCTCCGACCCGACCTCGCGCAATGGCAGGTCGACATCAAGGCTCTCTTTGACGCTGCGAAGGCCCGGAGCGGTCCCGTCAATGGTACAATGTAAGCAGTGACGGCTACACATTGGTTTTTCCTTTCACTTCTCCTCTTTCACAACAACTTATTCGCAACAAAGTTTTCGGGAGATCTAGTAATGCTAAGCGTGGGATACCATAATGAATAGTCCGATCAGGGACGAGGGTCAAATAAGATTCGTTCAATCTGATTCCTGAACCGCATAATGACCGACGATACGACTATTTCGTTTTGAGTTTGTTCGTACAACAGTGCAGCGTCCTGTTGCAGCGCATTGGATACAGTGCGCGATGTCGACAGTCATAAACACATGCAGGAACTTGTGCTGGTAAGCTATCCATCGGGACGAAGACGCTAGCGTCTTGTAGGAGGGGCAGTAGGATGCCCCATTGATATTGCCATGAGAAGTCGCCGTCGCATTGACATGTAAAAGCCGGGAGACGAAGCAGATTCTGCTGGGCGGAATTCATGGTTGTAATGTTGTTGATGCCGCATTGCATTTGAGGCCGGCGTTGTAGACTGGGATAATGTGCATAAAGAACAGGCTGGTCTGGCACCGGCAAGGTTTGAAAGATTACGAGGTTGCTGCCAGAAGGCATTTGGTACTAGATGTGATCTTGTGCCCGTCTTTTGTTTCAATACCCTCCCAGACCTTTAAGATGTTCCCAAGTAATTACCACGTTGCCGGTTGATATACTACTAGTACGCACCTGCTTAAACCGACATGTCAACAATAGCGATAGAACGTCTAAGCGTTGTTGGCTGTGGCTCAAAGCTATGATGATAAGTCAGCTGCATGTAAGGTACCAGTTGCCTAAGTGTATGACCTGTGCTGCTGTGGAGGCTGTCATACCCATGCCTAAGTACTTACATGAACTTTGCCATGAACCACTGACTGTTGTCGCCGTCTGACTGAGTGCACAGTCATCTAATCCTCGAAGTGTTAAAGCTAGCTAAAGAGCAATTCCCGCCTCGCCGAGGCCTTTTGTAGAGAACAGAGCTTTGCTTTGAAGAGGAACTGATGGTTTGATTGTGTCTTCATCTTGTTCGCCCCACGGACACCTTAGCCCGAAGGTTAATAAACAATCGCAGGTCAAATCTTGGGCGCAATTGTGGGGGCGAAATAAAACCGAGTCGTGATACACTAACATACGAAAACTCAAAGGCTCTGTGAGCCGGTGACTTGTCAAAACTCAGCAGAAATTACATGTAGGCAGGCGGCGGACGGATTCGAGCCTGGCCGGTGGGCGATGCTGCCATATAAACCTTTGGGCGTTCCCATTCAAGCCCTGTGGAAAATATTGTGTATTTCACTTGCTTGCTCGTCTCGACACTCTTTTTCAAAATGGCTCCTCTTTCGCTCTTTTTCTCGTCGCTCCTTTTCTCCATTGCGCTCGGTGCACCCGCCGCCTCCAGTGGCTCAAACCTGGGGAGAGATCTTTCTCTCGTTCAATCATTGAAGCACAAGATTACCGTCGACCCTTCTGGTGCCACCAAGAACTGGACTGGAAACAACGTTTGCGAGTTTGACGGCTTCAGCTGCGCCAAGAACCCCAACACCGGAACCAATGCCTTGTCAGGGATCGATCTCAATGGATTCGGGCTTGAGGGCAAGGACTTAGTCCTCGATGGCTTCCTCGACAAGCTGACCGATCTCACCTTCTTCCACGCCAACAGCAACGGCTTCACGGGATCGCTCCCCAAGGATCTTTCGGCTCTCAAGTGGCTGTGGGAAATCGACGTCAGCAACAACAAGCTCTCCGGACCCTTCCCGACGGGTGTCTTTGACCTCGACCTGACCTTCCTCGATCTGCGTTTTAACGAGTTCTCCGGCCCGATCCCGAAGGAGGCTTTCAACCTCGACCTCGAGGTCCTTTTCTTGAACGACAACAAGTTCTCGGGCAGCATTCCTAGCAACGTTGGCTCTTCCCCCGTTATCTACTTGACGTTGGCCAACAACAAGCTCAATGGGTCCATCCCTAAGAGCATTGGAAATATGAAGAACGTCCAAGAGATTCTCCTTCTTGGCAACGACCTGTCTGGTTCGCTGCCCAGAGATTATGCCATCAAGAACCTCACTGTCTTTGACGCCAGCGACAACAAGCTGTCTGGATCCGTTCCCGAGGGACTGTGCAAGCTCAACACTTTGGGAGTCTTGAACCTTACCAGTAACAACTTCAGCGGAACCCTGGGACCGGCCTGCACTGCTCTATTGAAGAATCACGTTCTTGACGTTACCAACAACTGCATTCAGGGTGTTCAGGGCCAGAAGCCCGCTAGCCAGTGCAATCACTAATTAGGAATGATTGGGAAATGTCTACAATATTGTAATCTGTGGTTTACTGTCTAAACATATGTCATGAGCTTACAGGAGGTTTCATTCCACTCTTAGCCACAGATAATATTATTGCATAATACCCCTACGACTTTCCCGTGCCCAGCGACTAGCTGAACCGTAAACGTTTATGTGACAGTGATATATGACAACGTTTGTCCAACGCATTCGGGATTCCTACTGGTATTCTGCGTGACATGATCAGACCTAGACTACAGCACACCGAAGGGTTTCCCAAATAAGTAGCCTCCGCAGGAAGTCAGGGATCGTATTTCCCCCATAACTCTACGCTTCACTATCCGGAGCCGAGTGCTGCTGCCGAGATGCAAGCTACCATCGGCTCCACAGGCCGGCGTCGGCCCCGCTACCCCACGATGTCCGATCCCCGCAATGTTCAGCCCCTTTTGGGGGTGCCTAAGACTGCGTTCGTCATTGAACGCGGGAAGCTCGGTGATAGTGTTAAGCAAGAAAGCGAGAGCGAGACTGAGATGGTTATCGTCGACATGTAGACTTGCTATAAGTTGATGTTCTGTCCATTCTTTCAGTTGGCTCAAAACATCTGCTGACGAAATCCCGAAAACTCCTCTTTTCCAGCAGTGATTATCCAGCTAGATTTTCAGAACATGGCTGATGTCGCTATTCTTGAGGCCGAACTGGCAAGGACCCAGAGACTGGGAAACTTCATCAAAGGTGAAATTCTACGAGTCATTATACCAGACTTTCGAGCTCTCGTTTCTGCGGGGCGTTTACTGATGTCACTTACAGCTTGGGATCCCAAAATTCTGGGCGTTAAGGATGCCAATCCTCGAACCCTCACCGACAAACACATCATCTCAAACATGGATGTTGCAATCCCTGTCAGAGATGGGACCATTCTGCGCGGCAACATCTACCGGCCTCGTCACCTTGAAGGCCAGAAGCTTCCCGTGATCTTCAATTACAGCGTCTACAGCAAAGACGGCGCCACCGACATTGCAGTTTTCCCACCTAGTGCAGGGTTAGATAAAGCTCGGATCACTAAAGACTATAAGTTCGAAGCAGCGGATCCGGGATGGTGGTGTCCTCGCGGGTACATCGTTGCCAGCATAGACGCCAGAGGCTGTTTCCAGTCTGAAGGTGACAAGAGTTACTATTCTCGAGATGTTGGAATCGATGGTGAGTACTACTCCCTCAGAATCCTTTACTACATGCACATTTTGAATTGGATGCATTGCAACTCTTTTAAAAATGTTGAAGAATGTTGCTGAGATGACGCACTTCTACAGGTTATGATCTTGTTGAATGGCTTGCAAAACAGAGTTGGTCAAATGGCAAGATTGCCTTATATGGAGCTAGTGGATATGCAATGGTGCTATGGCTCGTGGCAGCCGAACAACCTCCTTCGCTTGCGGTATGAGCAATCTTGAATTCTGTTCAGTCCTGCCTTGGATTGCTGACATTCGAATACGAAGGCCATTGTTCCCATAGATGGTATGACTGATATTTACCGCGAAATGGCTCTGAAGGGCGGAATCCCCGAGACACAGTTCGGTGCCGTGTGAGTTCCTCCCTTCCAGTGAAGATCTACATGAACTTCTGAACGGTGGAACTGATTGAGATATGGAGGAAGCTATCCAAACTTCTTCAACTGGGGGAAGAATCTTGTCGAGGATACGACGGACGGGCCCGAGACGCACCCTTACTTTGATGAGTATTGGCAAAGCAAGATACCGGCTCTTGCTCAAATCAAGGCCCCGGCCTACATCATTTGTGGATGGGGTGACCACGCTATTCATACCCGCGGGACACTCAATGCTTGGGCAAAGATCGCCTCTCAGGAGAAGTATCTCGAAATTCATCAATACCAAAAGTGAGTTTCTTCTGTTACCTCTAGCTAAGGTAGCATCATTAACCTTCCCTATATGTTCTAGATGGGAATGGTCGGTCACTGAGGAATCATTGAGCCGCCAAAAGGCTTTCCTAGACTACTTTCTGCTGGGGCTACCGACTGAAGTCCAGTATTGGCCCAAAGTTCGCTACACCATGAGAGAACGCTACTACACTGGGGAATGGCGATACAGTGACGCATTCCCCATTCCCGAAACTCAGTATACGCAGTACTTCCCGACTCCAAGTCTCGGCTTGAGCAAAATAGCCCAGCGCGCGGAAAGCCATACCTCGTATGACGCGAGTGAGGGCGAAGTCGCTTTCGAGCTTCCTTTGCGGAACTCCTTTGAGTTTGCAGGCCATTCCAAGCTCAGACTCTGGGTTGAAGTGACAGATGGTGGCGACAACCTGGATCTGTTCATCACTCTACGAAAGAAGGACAGAGATGGAAAAGACGTGTACTTTCCTTGGATCACAGTCGTCGATACCGGTCCCATCGGGTTCGGCTGGCTTAGAGCCTCTCGACGCGAGCTGGACCAGAAGGCCTCGACACCATGGAAGCCGGTACATCTACATCGAAGAGATCTTGAGCCTTTGAAAGCTGGAGACGTGGTGCCTGTGGAGATTGAGATACAGCCGACCAGCTGTCGATTCCGGGCAGGGGAACGACTCAGCTTGGTAGTCTCTGGGCACGACTACGGCAAGTACCCCGCAGGTGCGCCCATCCCCAGGCACAGTTCGACTATCAACAAAGGTCGTCATGTTATTCATTACGGGGGTAAATATGACTCTCATTTATTGTTGCCCGTTGTACCACCGGTCAAGGAAGCGTATAGCCAGAAGAGGCCCCTTGTCAAGATGACCATTGCTTGCAGACGGATCCCCGGGTGGTCCGAAGACAAGTTTCTTGAGGAATACACCGGCGTCCATGCTAGAATAACGAGGCATATCTCCGACGTAGTTCCAATCCTACGTAACTATACTCAGGTCGTCGCACTCCCTCATTCCAATGTCCCCGGCATTCCGAACGGTGGTCTGGAACCTTGGGACGCCGTCACGACGCTGGGATGGACGTCATTGAAAGGTCTCTGGGGCTCGTTCCAAGCTCCCGAATACAAAGCTTCTGCTGGCAAGCACGAATTCGCGGACATTTCATCGCAGACTGGTATTCTCAGTCAATGTTTCGCTGAAGCTTTGTTTGACCCGATCCTCTTTGAGAAGCGTGGAACCAAAGCAGCTATGCTGTTCGTCTTCTTAGCAAAGTCTCTAAACGTAACCCTTGCCGAAGACGACCTCACTAGCCGAGCAGCGTCTATCACAGAGCTCGGAGCTGGCACGGCTTTGATGAGATATGTTCTCAATCGGGAAGTCACTCATGAGGATACTGACAGCTTCTTCGCCGGAACGCCTTTTGCTACTTCAGACTGGTCTACCATGGGTGCTTTCGAGCAGTACTGGTTCCCGGACCGAGACTCCGTAGCGAGCTTCCTCAGCGATGAGGACAGACTCAAGGCCCTCTTCAAGACTATGCCACAGTCTTTTAACAAGCAGAAGTCTTTTGCGGTGATTGGGGATGAGAATATTGTGGTGAAGAAGGATCTGGAGTTCTAGCGGTACCTAATCTTATGGCACCTCCAATTTCAAGAATTGAATCACAAGTGATCTGTAGAACCTCTTGAGAACTTTACCGGGTGATAGTGGAAAGCGTCCAATGATCTGACATATCTAAAAGTGTCACCTAGCCATACAAGAGCTACCTGACGGCAATAGAGAGATCTCTTCGACCAAAAGCCAGGCAGGAAAGCCTGAAGCAAGAGATTGTCAATCATCGCGTTCCTCGATTTGATCTCCATTGCGCTCTCATAACCAGGCTCACAGCTAAACCTAGAGACCAGCCTGACTTCTGTGACAACATCCGTACGCTCTCTTGTAGTAAGCGGTCGGATGCTCGTTCTTCACCCAAATTCCCGATGCCTGCTACATAAAGCCGGAATCCGGGCTCTCCAGAGAGCCACTCATCTATGTTCTTTTGACCATCTAGTTTGTCAAGGCGAAGGGTCCTCCAAGAGCCTGTTTGGTGACAATAGAAAAGAGTGTGAATCCACATGGAGAGTGTAGCATACAGCAGGGCATTAACCTCGTGGTGTCCAGGTGTAAAATGGTTCCGAATATGGGAAAATAACCTTGCGGCGTGGTAGATGATGATTCTCGCCTTTCCCTGGTTTTGGCGGAGCCACATGCGAAGCCTCCGGTCTGCAGCCTCTCGAACTTCACTACTAACACCCCAGCCTGAGAACGCAGTTAGTACTCGTAGAGGCATATGTATAAGGAGGCTGAAAGCGTGGTTGTGCTGGAGTGCGATCCTGTCAATGTCGTCGGTCGGAAGCTGAGCGTTTTCACCGCCTCGCAGAATCGCTAGGTAGCGCATAGTGTCTTGATTATTTGTCGAGTCTCGGTATAAGGCTAGAGTAAGAAAGAGCCTGTTCAAGCTACTCAGGTCTTCTGGGATCTTTTTATCACGCCGAAAACGCGTAAGATATTCTCGGAGAAGCCTACTATTGACCAAGTCTGCGCAATTAGTAGCCGGCTGGTTTCGACTTTTCGGGGGGCTACTCACTTGGTGATCTTGAAGCCTGATCGGCCCATGATTCTGAAGAATCTGATCTCCAAAGTATTTCTTCACATGGCAGTGGGAGTAGTAGAAGATCTGTTGGTATGGTTGGAGGCAAGTCAAAGAACAAGCCCAGCTGACCGTCCAACATCTTAAGATTACAGTAGTTGCGACGTCAGCGTTCCCGTGCCCACATGCTTGAGGCAGCATACGAAGACTTACCCATGATAGGTGTGCAAGCCTTCTCTTGCTTTCCACGCGAATCCATTTCTGCCAATTCGCTGGTTGCGGTGTAAAGTCGACAGAATGTGACGTAGCTTCGCTAAAGAAGCCTGCTCGTCGGCAAAGTGTTGCTAGTAAAGACATGTTTCTTTGAGCGTGTTCAGCGAAAGACATGCTTCCAGAAAACATCAACCCGATCTGACTGAGTAAAACGGATTGCGTCAGATACAGTTCCGAAGATGGATCCGGTTCGGGATCAAGATCTAGCTAGACAGGTTGTCAAATTTCACGGCCTTGCATATAACAATGAACTTCAGAGCGAACCTACACAAAGATTGATCGAGCGCCTCAAAAGTTCTTGCAAGAGGAAAGAATCGCTCAGTGTGCCAAACTTCGAGAACCCGCAACCCGTCGCCGCGACCGCAAGAAGGAGAATCCAATGAACTTGCTCTGGGTCGAAGGTTTGTTGATGGAGCAAAGGCCACACTGGGTGGTAATGTTCGAAATGAGACTGTATGAAGACATTGATAGCTTCTTGACTTGGAAACGGCTTATCCGTAAATGCTTCGCAATAGTCTGTGTCTGCATTCAGCTTCTCAAACTGAGTTCCGAGGATCGAGTAAGCATGTAGGCTCAAGGTCGGAACATGACCGTAGTCCTCGAGATCCCAGTCCTGCTCTTCTCCATCGATGCCTTCACTAATGAATGTAGTACCTGCAACTCGACTGAGATTTTCAAGGCCTTGGGTGACGAAGTGTTTTTTTCGACGGCTTCGACTTCGTTCTGCCTCTGTGGAGTCATCATAATCCCGACTGAAAGCTGATGGCCGCCCAAAAGCATTTGCAAAAGTGGAAGAAAGCTGGGAGTGATTGGTGAAAATCGCTCGCGGTGTATCCTCTGATAACAGAGAAGTAGGCGTAGGTTCTTGAACAGCTGCAGCTAACACCCCTCCGTCCACTTCTGAACCCTTGGAATCTATCTCGATCGTTCGGTTCTCTTCTGCCCTTCCGTGAGATGTCTGATCTGAGATAAGCTGAGCCCGTAAAACTCCTTCGTCGGCCATGGAAGTAACCCTGGCGCTTTCTTGTGTCGTCAACTCATTGCTCAGGAAGTCATCCCAGCTCAGCCATGCATTAGTTGACGAGAATGGAAAGCACCATTGGCTTGGCGTGCACAAGAGCGGATCCAGCTCCAACTGGAGTGCATCTTGAGTCCAGATAGCAGCTTGGAAATCATCTCTAGCATTTGGGACTGACTCTTGAGGTGCATGTTCCTGGAAGGTATCAACTCGAGTTTCCGGAAACTACAAGCATTTGTTAGCATACCCGCGATTGCTCCTCCATTCATAAAGAGCTTTAAGGTAGATGAAGTTGCAAGGTTGTGGCCACTGACAGCTTCGCTTCTGTTGATTATTGCGCTTTGGTTGAAAGCAACCGGGGAGGTGGGCTCCTGGAGTGCTTCCGCAGTATCAAATGCTTGAGCCTCATGTTCATTTGAGAAATGGGTGTTTCGTTGATTGTCAGCTGTATAAACGCAAGACCGATTCTTGGATTGGCATCTAGCGCAGGGGTCGCCCCCGTCACAACGCTGCTTGGAGCGAGCACAATGCCGGCAGGCTCTAGAGACACAAGATCTACGGGCCCTCTTTGGCGTATCGGAGCCTGGTGGTGAAGAATTAACGTCTGCATGACTTTGCATGTGGCGCTGAAGTGAGTCTCTGTCGAGTCTGAAGATCAGCCAATTGACGCGGCGAGTGTCTCAACATCAGGACACGATTCCACACTCAGCCACCAGGCAGTCTACGAGCTTCGTTTGGCTCGGGGTCTCTTACCTTCGGGCAAAACTGGCGGCACATGTCGGACATGCAAAAGGGCGTACGCCGAGATGGCGGAGAGCGTGGCGGTTGAGATGTTCCGCACGCCGGAACTCGGCCTTACAAATGTCACATTTCAGAGCCATAATCTCGCTTGAACCCCATCGGAATCAGGGGAAGTAGAACGTAGACGTATTCTATTACTGCTCCGACGTGCTGTAGAATTATCGCCCATGGGTGCAGGCTGCTGTCGTCGGAGGGTGTGGGGTAGTTACGACAATGAGCTTGATGTTTTCGGAGGCTGCGGGGGGACTTCCTATATACCCCTCTCGGAACAAGGTATGGCGGAGACAGAGTTTGTGGGGGCGGGATCTAACAAGGATGCATGAGACGGCCCGGGTCAACAGACGACGTGTCAAATCACGATTTGGCCGACAGCAAGAAACGGTGTCTGTCAATTGTCCGTCGCCGATTCATGGTGTAGCTAGCAATAGAAATTCTTACCAACCTAGCGTTGCAATAGACCATCCACAGAGGATGCTCCCTAGCCAAATCTGTAAGATATGCTGACCCCCATGTCACGGGTACGGCGATGGTTGACTGCTTCCTGTTTACGCCATCTGTACGCGAAGACACCCTAAGTACAGCTTTGCTAAGCGGTCAGAAACCTAAGCAGAGTAGATTCAACTTGATAGAGAGAGTGTGTAAGTCAGAGTATCTTACTCTGGTCGCCAAGATATGCAGCTCCGCTGCTCTAGAGTACTTTACATACTTGGACCCATGTACCGATTGTAAAGGCGACTAGGGATGCCATACGTTTGTTTAAATACGGCATGATATTCTCTTTTATCTTCCTTCACCAAGTCACTCTATTATCCTACTAATAGGTTGAACATTCGAACACTTTCAGCGAAACTACCTGATCACGTATCTCAATTAGGAGATTCACCCACCGCACTACTTTTCGATCATGGCCACCAATTTCTCCAAGCTGGGAAAACTGACCTCTTCACCAGCAACCACCGAATGGGATATCATCGTCGTGGGGTCCGGTCATAATGGCTTGACCTCAGCCGCCTACCTCGCAGCAGCTGGAAAGAAAGTCCTCGTTCTGGAGAAGGCTTCCTACCCGGGAGGTGGCGTAGCTAGCCTCCAGATGGCCGAGCCCGGGTTTATCAGCGAACGTCACAGTGCCATTCACCAAATGATCCTCGCGAACCCCATGATCACTCACGATGAGCTTGGTCTGCAGTCTCGATACGGCCTCGTGTACAAGCAGCTAGACCCGTGCTATGCCATAGTCATGGAAGACAAAGTCCTACCCATCTACCGAGAGCGCCACAGGACCGTCGATGCAATTCGACAATTTTCGGCAGAGGATGCTGACGCCTACAACGTCTTTGTGGACAAATGTCGCCAAATCACCGAGCTTTTGATGCCTTCTATGTTCGAGCCTCCCCGCGACATGTCAGCACATATCGCTAGCAGCCCGTCAGCTGAGGAAATCGCCATTGCATCAACCAGCTCCTCCCTGGAGATCGTCCAGAGATACTTTAAAAGCGAGGTTCTCCAAGTGGCGTTGCTGAGATTCGTAACTGAGATCCAGCTTGCCCACCCCAAAACAACCGGCACTGGCTTGATGGCCTACCTGGCTTTTGGACTTCTTGACATCTATGGGCTTTGCGTACCCGAGGGCTCCGGATCTGCATGGACAGAGTCTGTAATCCGGTGTCTCAGGGACCACGGTGGCGACGTCAAATTGGATACGGAAGTCATCAAGGTTATCACTGAAGGCGGACGTGCTGTTGGAGTGAGAACTCGCTTTGGAGAGCTGAGAGCGAGAGAGGCCGTCATTGGACAGATTCATCCTCACAACCTTGGACATCTCGTCGACGGAATCGATCCGTCAGTAACGAAAGCGGCCTCAAACACCCGCGTTTCTGACTTCAGTCTCCTCGTCGTCCACGCCGCCCTCGAACGCCCGCTCAAGTTCAAAGCGGGTCCGATTGCCGACAAAGCTGTCATGAACACTTGCTGCCCAGGCAATCTCAAAGATCTCATCCAGAGCTACGATGAGATGAACCAGGGCATCCTCCCGAAGAACATCATGATCGGTTCTTCTTGCATTAGTTCAGGTGACGAAAGCCGGTGTCCACCGGGCAAGTCGCTGCTACATTGTGTCGTGATGTGCAAGGCAGAGCCTGCTGACGGCGGCTGGGCCGCTTGGGATCGCATCAAGGACGACTGGGTGCAGAGAGTTTTTACGTACTTTTCCAAGTACCTGGACAACTTTACTCCCGACATCGTTCGCTCTTATCATGTTGTTGCTCCTCCGGATCATCAGTCCGACAGCGCGAGTTTCCAGCGTGGCGACATTGCTGGTCTTTCAATGGCGGCGGATCAGATGGGAGTTAACCGGCCTACGCCTGCCCTCGCTCAGTATCGTGTGCCTGGTATTGAGGGTCTTTACCTTGCCGGACCTTTCATGCATCCGGGTGGAGGAGTCTGGGGCGGTGGCCGTCCAGTAGCTAAGAGGGTGCTAGAGGATCTGGGGATTGACTTTGATAAGAAGTTTGTGCAAGGCAGCTCGCGACTGTGAAACTGACCTAAAGAAGGACTGAATTGCAGCACGCTGAAAAACATCTTAAGGCACTTGCACGTCATGAATGCTTCTACGGCTTACGCAGCAAGTTTAAGACGTAATCGACAATTTGCAATTTATCTTCACTTACCTAAACAATCATCAATCATTTAAGTCATTCGTCCCTTTCATTAGTGTCATTACGAAACTTTGGGAAGAGTCTTGAATCCGTAACATGTTCTATGGTCTCTACCGCGTCTAAAAGATGCTCCAAACCACCCCTCTACTTGACCTTCACCTAAGGCAAGACATAGCCGCCATCGATGAGCACATCGCTACCGGTCATGTAAGTTGAGGCATCACTAGCAAGATACAGGTACAGGCCCTTGATCTCCTTAGTGTGGCCTTGTCTGCCCAGAGCTGCCATGCGGTACGCTTCTTGCAGAGCATCTGGACCAGCGCCCATCTTCGTGTCGAAGAAGCCTGGAGATACAATGTTGACACGGGCAAACTCTCTCCACTCGCGGGCAAGGGACTTTCCGAAGTGCGTGACGTACGCCTTGGTGGCGTTGTAGACGGGCTGGTCGACAGGGACATTGACGATATGTCCGCTCATGCTTGAAGTGATGATGAGATTGCCGAAGCCTTGGCTCTTGAAAACTTCGCCAGCATACTTGGAGCAGTACACGATTCCGTCCACTAGGAATTGTGTCAGGTGAACAGTTCATGACATGGCTGAAATAGGCCGACTTACCGTTTACCGACATCTGCTTCCTGTACTCGTCCAGCGTTTGCTCCAAAATGGGCTTTGAAATTGCCATGCCTACACTGCAGTTAGCCACATCTGGCCTTAAGGTATGAAAAAAATGATTAATATTACTCACCGGCATTGGCAACGAAGACATCAATTTTACCAAAGTCTTTCAGTACTTTGGCAATAGTCTCTTGAACCTGGCTGGAATCTGATACTGCATGGATGTAAACCTTCACATTCACACTGTTAATCTGGTCATTTTGTGAATAACTAACCATCAACCTTGTATGCTGAGGTCTTGACGCTATGTGTGCTTGCCAGATCCTGAGCCTTTTGAATCGCAGCGTCATTTCTGTGACGTCCTTAGTCAATTAAAAGTTATAAGGATGAGGCAGTATCCCTAGAGGCGTTCTCTTACGAGTTGTACCACAGAGCAACATTGCCGCCGGCCTCTGCCATAGCCTCGGAGACAGCATAGCCAATACCATCGGCAGCACCGGTAACTACGATGACTTTGCCCGTCACTCGTAATTGGTCAAGGACGTTAGATGGTGTGTTGGGGAACGGGCGGGGGAAGCCCTCCCGGGACTTTGCGCAATCTTCAGTGGACATCGACATCTTGGTGGTATTTGCTGGTGTCGATAAACTTGAAAGAACAAAAAGATTGAGTTGAAAAACAGTAGTAATTATTAGATGTGAAGCTGCGATCTTTATTTGCAAGGACCAATACCACAGATCTCCGCATCGGTGCGCTGTCGTCCGAAGGCGGGGGGACATTCGGTGGGGGCTCTTCGGCCCACTGGCACTGGATCATTGGGGCGGATGTGAGCCGTCGGCCGGCCGAATCCCGGCCAGAGTCTTTTGTCGCAGTATTGCAAGTCTTCAGGAAGTGCGTCAGAAACACCAATAGGCTGCCCTGATACCCAGCGAGTGGCTGATTCCTACAGGAAACTGCACGTGTGGTGTGTCGACTCTGACTTGGCGGCCGCAGCTTCGGTGCACTGCCAATATTGAACTATTTTCTTCCCTTAGGCTCTACGTCCTTGAGAAGACCTGCGCAGAATCCATGGCGATTCATCTCTACGGTTACAGCTTCCGCTATCAAGGTTGTCGTAACCGTTAGTTAAGGTAAGACTCATTGGGATTTATTGATTTGTACAACAGTCTCACATTTCAAGACTATCAGTGCAGTAGAAGCATCTACCGTCTGTTGAGCTGTGTACACAGCCGTTTCATGACAACCTCGCAATATCAAGGATGTTACCTGTTGACTTAATTCGTTTCCCATGGGTTAATGCAGCCTACTTAGCTTATAGTAGATCACAAATCACGAATGAACCTCTGCGAGTCGAACCCTTGTTCGTCTGTTTATTTGCTCCCCACCTTACTCGCCCTCATCCCGGGGAGCCTCGAATCCGACCCAAAACATCCCTCGATGGTTCAGATGAAACTCCTTGCGAGGAAACCTTCATGATAAAACTACTATCATTTAGACCGTTCGTGAGGGAGAAAAAGAAGCTTTAAAACACTGTTCAGCCGCCTTCTACTGCAGACCCCCTCCGTGCTAATGTAGAGCGAGTGAATCAAGAGATATCATATGGTCTTGGAACCTCCGTTCCCTTTTCCAGTGACCCCGTCCCACCATCCTGTCTAGCTCATCTAACGGTGTGAATCGAACCATCAACAGTAATTGATATGGAGTTGATCTACCACTTTCGGCGCGCTTTAACGCTAGCACTTGTCCTACTTTTTAGTGGTGTTCAGTGTCTACCCGGGCCCATGCCACAGCAGACAGGTGGAGAGTCTCCGGCAGACAAAGCAAACAAGATTCCTCAGGGTATTATGCCGGCGAAAGATGGTTCAATCATTCTTGATGCAACAGAGACAATCAAGTGAGTGAAGCTTCAACCAAACCTGCTGCTCGCTTGAATAAAGCAAGCGCTAATAATTGAGCTAGTAACTTGAAAATTCGCTTTCGCATCAGTGGTCCTGCAGGAGAATTTACAACGGCAAGCAAGGTACCCGGAGGCGGCAAGACAACAGGTGCGAAGGGCAACCTCGGGCTTCACGTCTTGTTACACGGCGATAGCGGCTCTTCTTTCTTCGACATGCCTAACCAAGGCGTAAAGAACAATCTGGCAGGAGTCACAGTGCTCTCCCCGGACAGGAACCTCCACTGGGGAGGCGGTTCCGGTTTTAATCGCACAGACGGCGTTGCGCACGCTCAAGCAGTCAATGATCTGGTTTTCCAAACCCTGCCCAAGTACATGGCTTTCAACTCCTCGAATATCTTCTTTTCTGGGATCTCCGGAGGTTCTCTTCTGCTTTCTGGATACTTTATGCCAGCGCACATGGGCAACTTCGCTGGGAACGGGGTGATGCTAGGCTGCGGTGCGATGGAACCCCGCGTTGAAGTATCGCAGTCCTCTCGTGACGCTCTTGTGAATACTCGACTCCACTATCAGAGCACTCAAAAGGAGCTCCAACACCTGCAGGGATCGATCTCCGCTACAATGAAGGCGTACGAGAAAGTTGTCAAAGACAAGGGCATGAAGATGGAGGCGATCAACAAGCTTCAGACAGCCAACAACAAGCCAGTGGGAGGTCATTGTCAATTTGATGAGAAGGGGTTTGGGTCCGGAATCCAGCTAATTGCTGACAACTATGCTGCGATCATGCAAGGAGGAAATGGCGAGGTAGCAGGTATTGGAAATGTTTTGGAGGGTGTCTCCGGCCAGGAGTTGAAGTTTTCGGACGGTGGTAATCCTTGAGTAGAGTCAATCGCATTTTCCGCCTGTCGAACCATCAAGCCTTTGATCGAGGTCGCAAACTTTTACTACCACACATTCAATGCTGCCCCGCGATTATTATTTGGCATTCATAGTCTCTTACGTGCGCCAAGACGACTCAAAGGAATTGCAAGATCCTTGATTGCAGCGGTCAATAACGGCAAGATTTCGCGAATGTCGGGGCCTCTTTGCATGTAAATTCGTTCCATGTACTAATCTTTGATCATGATAATCTACCGATGACTTACTGAATAGTAATCTTGGAAGGTAAAGTCAAGTTGAATCCAAAAAAGCCCACTTGATAGCGAATCGACATCTGCTGCTCCAATCTAACGAGCTTATCAGTTGGTACATCCCGCCATGATGCTAACCACTGATGTTTGCTCATGTGCTGCAGAATCTTCCGCCTTTTCTCAAAATCGCATCCTGCCGTTTGCCAGCTCCACAGACTGTTTCCCGTAGATTGTGATTCTTTTGTTTGAGACTCCCGCTTCTCATACGTGTAGCTAGAAGGGCGCGTTTGTTCATTTCTCTGCTTTCATATGCGAAAATAGGTTTAAGACGAAAGCAATCGCCTCCATGGATCCCATAATACAAATCCGCTGAGGCATCATCTTGTTTTTGAATCTGTCGAATACTTTTAGCCAGCTTTTCTGAGTCTCCTTAGATGAACGTATTCCGAAAAAGAACTCGTCGTCACATTCAACGGATTGGGCCATGGCAAATAAAAGGTCGTCCGTTACGTCCGCCCACTCTTGAAAAGCCTTCAGTACCTCTTCGTCCGAGAGCGAAAGCTTCTCCACATCGACGGCTTTGTTGACACGGCACCTCGTCTTTTGTAATAGCGACCACAGGAGAACTAAGAGGGACTCCGAGGACCTCAGCATGCAGCTTTTGTAAATAAAGGCCTGCCGGGGCCTACTGTCTTGACTATTTTCCAATGTGATGTGTTCTGCCCCGGATATGCCACGAAGAAGTAACTGAATCCCCAGTTCATCTTCGAGGTAGGCCTTGTATTTGGCTCCAAGTTGTGTCCATATCTTCCAAAGGCGTATCTTCGCGTCGCTCTGATGGCGATTGATGTACGTTGCAAGCTTCACAAAGAGAGACTCTGCTGGCAACTCTTACATTCGCTGCACATGATCTCCTCCAATAACCAAAAAGGCAATCTTCTAGGAGAGATATCTTTCGCTCTTCAAGTTGAGCAAGATCGCTCAAGTTGAAGGTCTTGAAGGTCATATCTATTGCCACTTTACCAGTGTCGACGTTCTCAAACAGCAGATCGCAGGCGCACAGAAGACGACATATGTAGACTGAAGGGGTGCAGGTCGACCTTAAAACTGCGTATATGTTGATGCCGTGAATCCAGAAAAGACTGTCATCTTGTTGTATGTGGTTGGAGACGTTAGTTTCATTGGAATCTCGGAATATGCTTGACGGATCCGGGAGAATTAGAGTGACTCTCATCTCCGGGCCGTCCTCGCATCCAGGCCGGATAAACGATTGTCAATATCGGCCATCTTCAGTGAAGAATCTGCGAAGATTGCATACCCTAATTGCTGTAACCTGTAGATACCCGCTTCGCGACATGATACGGATATCGTAGGGAAAGGACAGTTGCAACGATAGAGCTCCCATGTTCAATGTGGCATCATCGAGCCCTAGCCTTTCAGTATCATCGATCTGACAAGACTTTATGACTTTCGTAAAGATTTCCACCGCTGCCCCGTTCACGGAACGGAACCTGTATGTCTGGAACCCAAGATGGCAGAGTGCTTCGTCGAGCTCGGTTTGCACCTGCAAAAAGAAGAACAGCCATACTGAGGCCACATTTCTGCGTCAAATATGCTGCAATACCAATGCTGACTTCCTCCACAGTAAGCCTGTAGTCGGAAAAAACTGGCCACACCTTCCATCGCGAGACTAAGCCCAGCAGAGCAAACACCTTGTCTCGTGGATCCTGGCACAAACATTCGGAGGTGTCAACCATGAGGCCGAGAAGACTTCGTAGAGGCCGAGCTGCAGCTTTGCCCCGTGTAATAATCCAGGAGTGATTGACGAAAGGAGTTGACATTCCCGAGAAAGGCCATGGAGTTGACTTTGAACCACAGTACAGCGTCAGTGTTCTACTTAGAACAACTTCCTGTACCACCCATAGCCTCCGGAAGTACGATCAGCTGAGAAGCATCTGAAGAGGTCTTTCGCAATCTGCGCAAGCTTTTCTTTCCATTCAGTTGCGACCACAGTTGAGATGAGGCATTGAATTGAAAATAGCGCTGAGAGCTCTATCGCTGTCCTCGGTTGCCGGGCCAAGGTATGCCAAAACTCCCATAGCGGTGGCGTAAATCTGTGGCATAAGAGCAACTTGTGCATTCCGCTCTTCGTCATCATCCTGGTTGATGCAAAAGGAATCAACATAAATGGACCGAGAGCTTCATCCAACCAGCCGAACGCTACGAAGGGCATCTTCGCAGCTCCGGGTAATAGGGATTATATCCCAATAAGGTCCAATGAACATTGGTCTGCGCCTGACAGAGTCTCCAGAAGAGTCAGCCCAAGTATACGACAAGGCCTCATACCTTGCCCTTATGGATTCCAACAGAACGTTTTGAGAATTTTCATGAAGCAGGTTTTCCTTGTCCCCCGAGTCCAATTCCAATATCCGTATTTCCTGGCTGCCCCACAGGTTCGGATAGCACCTCGAAGGGCGATACGAATCGTCGGTGATCGAGAGTTTCCTTCCCTTAGTTAGTGGCTCTTCTTTCGTTGAGAACCCTTTCGAAGGTGCGCCTGGCCTCTTCAGGGTCAGTTGGGAGTTTGACCTTCCTCCAAATGGCAAACTAGAGCCTGAGCTTGAGCTAGTTAATGCGTTCGGCGGGATTTCTTGTTGCTAGCGGACGTAATCGACGCATTCAGGCCATCGAAGGTCGTATATGGAGTGATTCTCTAGAGTAGGAGCTTTTCTTGTACTGAGAGAAGTGTCGAACTGGACATCATCAATCGATGCTACTCCGTAGCAAAACCGACAGCACGGAAGGCCACCGCAGACCACGACATCAGGCCGGGTGCAGCCGCGTTCGTGCCATCTAGACATGAAGGGTGTCGATGCAGTGAGGTTGGTAGTTGGCCCAGTGTGGTGTAGATTATTAAAGAAGGAAAATAATCTCCTACTATGCATCGCGATGGTCCTCTAGCTACATGGATCTCTACAAGTATGGGTGCCATAGGCAGGTCATGTCGAAGTCTGACAGCCAGTGGCTCAGGCTGACTAGCAAACCCGCATGGCACCAAAGCCCGACCCAATTTGCACTGCCCATTGTAGGCTACTTACATAGTCACATAACTCTCTTACATTTCCATCTACGTGAGCGTTAACTGGATAACGCTGCTTCAAAGTTTTCCTGAGAGGAACACTTGCTCGCACGTGGGTTTAGCGCCGAACGTACCAAGAATCTGGTCTATGCCTCTTGCTCACATGCTGTTGACCTATACCTGTTTACACTCAATGAGGGCAATGTAGCAGATTGATATGATCAGACTCCTCTTTGGTTTCACTATTTCTTTTTCAATTCTTGCAGAACACATTACACGACAAACCAGCTATTCTACATTCCCTGTCTTTTATGCGTGGAAGCGTCTGATAGCGCGAGCAGTCTGGTTACCCTTGGAACCCTCAGTATCAAGGACAGCAACGCTAAGCTCAGGCAAGCTGAAAGTAAAGACACCATCGGCGTTGGCAACAACAGTAGTAGTATTGCTGGCAACAGTGGTCTCGCCGCCGTTGAGGGGATCGTTGTGCGCAAACGGGTCACCGCTAGGGTTCGTCAGAACAGTCAAGGAGGCGGTAGTGCCAGCAGTGACGCCCTCAAACGCAAGGTTGATGTCAACATCAGCGCTGTCGGTGGTGTTATAAACGGCACCCTTCCAGATGAAGCTGCCCTTGGCCTCGTTTTTGCCAGCGACCCAGTACGCGGGGCCGAACTCGCCGACGGTGGGGAGGGTGTGCGACAGCGGGTGCGCGGCGAAGAGCTCCCAGACGAACCAACTGGTGGAGCGCGTTGTCAGAGCGGAGTCGGCGGCGAACTGAACAATAGTAACGGCCCATTGCCAGCGGTTCATGTTGCGGAGGACAGGAGCGTAGAAAGTTCCTGGGATGCGGTCGGCGTTGCGCTCATAGCCGATGAGAGAGACGGCCTCACCGACGGTACCGATCCACCAGGGGAAGGGCATCAGGTCGCCGTCCCAGCCGGTGCCGCCGTTGGGGTGCGTGGCAGCGACCTCGCCGACAATGTGGCCAATGTCGTTGTCGAAGCGGTCAAACTCGTCGACGAGGGCGTCGGGGGTGCGGTAAGGGTGGTAGTCGCCAATGCCAGGGGCGGGAATCTCGAAGCCGTCGCCGTCGGTAGTGGCACCGGAGGAGATGACGGTGATGTCGGGGTACTTGGCCTTGATGGCCTCCATAAACATGGGGAAGCGATACTCCTTATAAGAGGTCCAGCCGCCCGGGTATCCTGCAAGCCAATCCTCGTTGCCAATCTCGACATATTCGAGCGTAAAGGGCTCCGGGTGGCCGAGCTCGGCGCGGCGGGCGCCCCACTTGGAGTCGACGGGGCCGCGGATGAACTCGATCTGGTCGAGGGCGTCGTCGATGAAGGGCTGGAGGTCTTCCTTTGCGGTCACGTCACCGTTGAGGGCGAGGCCAGCCCAGACGCCGATGACGACGTCCAGACCCATGTCAAGTGCCCACTCGAGGTATTCTACGAGGCCGAGGCCGTGGGTTTGCTGGTAGCCCCAGACACCTTGGAAACCGGGGCGGTTCTTGAGGGGGCCAAGAGTGTCCTTCCAGTCCCAGTAGGTGCCGTTGTTCAGGCCCTCGAGCATGTTGCCACCGGGGAAGCGAAGCAAGCTCTGTCTACTTGTCAGGGATGTTTAACCAATGCAGGGGATCGGATAAGGTGCTTACAGGGTGAAGTCCAGCCAGAGCCTCGGCGATATCAACACGAAGACCATTCTTGCGGCCCTTGTAGGTAGGAGGGAAGAGACTGATCAAGTTGAAGTCCAGCGAACCGTCGACAGCGCTCTAGATAGGAAGTCGTCAGTTCATGTAGCTCAGCTTAGATTTGTGCAGGAGTTCCCTACCGCAGGATCAAAGGTAATGGCAAACGTGTTGTTGCTGTTGGGGGCATCCTTCTCAGGAGTGAGCTCAACCTCGTGCTCAACCCACTCGTCGGCAGTGGCCTTGGACTCAATCTCAACTGAGCCAAATATGTCCTCGTTGAGAGCAGATTTCAGGCTAGCGGTGAAGACACCGTCGTACGAGCCCTTCACCCAGAAAGAGCCAGTGTACTTCTGCACCTTGACGTCCATGCCCCAGTAGCCATCGTTTTCGAAGCCGATGGCGCCGGAGCCGTTGCCTCCGGCAACATTGACGGAGACGGGGAGCGCGGCGGAGAGGGGCTCGGTGAGGTTCTTGAGGGTGAGCTTGGCGCCGTTGATGGCGTGCCAGGCGTCGAGGGAGACGGGGAATCTGGGGCTGAATTGGAAGGCTCGGTTGCGGATCAGCTCGGCGTAGATGCCACCGTCACCAGAGTTGTTGATGTCCTTGAGATTGCAGACGTTAGATGAAGGACTCGGGCACCGGATGGCATTGCGCTACAAACCTCGTGAAGGAAACCGTACTGGTGACCACTGGTGGCGTTGCCGCCGGATGCCTTGATGGAGACATCGACAGCAGCAGCCGAAACGGCATAAGTAGCGGCCAGGATGGCCGACTTGAGTGACACCATTTTGCTTCCCTATTGCTTGGGGTTGAGGTTGCAATGACGCGAGGGTGCTAAACAGGAGGAGCTATCAAGTCCACCAAGGAGGGGCGTCATCTTTATAAGGATATTCGAGCTGTGTAGCTACGTGATGAGCTGATCACCACGGAACTCAATGGACCGGGGGAAATGTTGCCATACTTGCGTAGCATCGCATGTGAAGCGGGTGGGGGGAGAACATGTGCTCACTTCGCCCGGATAGGCAGGGCCATTGGGAAAGATCGTCTCGTAATGAACCGGCGTTCCTGATGTGCTTGACCACCCCGCGTTCTGCTCAGATTGCATGTTACCCGGCGCGAACGTCTTTGCCCAGACGGCAGAACCCACATCGTGACCGTCGCATGTCGGTGGCTTCAGGCCCGAGAACGAGTGGTCTTGGCAAGTATTTTGCCCCGGGGGCTCTACGGATACCAGGGGTGCCTCTTTGCGTCGGCTCGGTTGATATTTCGCGTCTTCATCTGCGAGCACTGGAAGCGCAAGGGTCTGGGGCCCGAAGCAGAGGCAGCGGCAGCGCGGATTGGATGTTTGCTTCAAAGTCATTAACAGCACCGTTACATCGGGCGCGCACCGGTTGATATGAAGCTTCGCGCGCGAACGCGAAAGCAGACAACGTTATTTCCCCCTGCAAGCTCCCCCTCCTCTGCTGATGTGGGGAAACACCTAGGAGACCAGGGCAGAACTTTTGACTTCTTGAGATGAAAATGAGGGGAAGTTGGAGAAAGAGGGAGCGGTCCGCGGCCTCGTCTAGGATATCCCCCGGATCCACCCTCGTCATCTACCGGTTTCCGAGCGAGGCGGCGACGGCCTCTCATTCGAGCGCATCAACAACAATATCGGGGCTCTCCTTTTACCGCCAAAGAGAGTGTGTATGCCCCATGTTGTGCCTGGCGCTAGAGGAGAGCATGGCATGCATCATGACTTGATCATGGTGTCTTCGGGTTTGTGATCTCCTGAAGCCGATGGGGGATCAAGTTGACGTTTCTCAAGTCCTTCCCTTTGGCTTACACTTACCTTACATATAGTAACACCCCGCAGAAAAGTCTAAGCCCTTGCGATCGGGTTGGATCGCTTCGATGCGAGATGCAGCGTCTCTGGGCGTTCGTCTGGTTGCCCATGTGCCGTTTCTTTTGACTTGTCTCAAGCCTGCAAGGGCAGATAGGTCTCCCACTGTCCCTACTCCCAACGTGGATGTCTACCAGTCTGACATCATTAAAACACTCTAACTTCTTCTCCATTCTCAACTCCACCAGCAATGCGGAGACTAAATGTCTGCCTTATATGCCGTTAAAACCATCTAACAATAACGGGGAAAGAATATATCCGCTCGGGAGAAGCCGGAGAAACGCCATTGCTAGCACTTCCCGCTTGCGCAGGAACATGGAGAATGGTACTGAGTGGATCGATCGACAGGATTCATCGATCCGGATAGAAATTTTCTACCAAGTGCTCCTTGCCTTCAAGTATAGAGAAGTTCCGATATTGCTGGACAACTTGACTGCCTGGATAGAGAGAAGCACCTAAGGTGACCAACTTGCGCTTACACGTAACATTTCAAAGGTAAGATCGGTTATGTGCTTCAGAAAACAATGAAATACACGGTGTTATTATAATATTACAATGTTAGTAAAACTTCTACCTTTCTCTGGACACGAGACGAATTGGCTTCTTGATGATTTTGTCGCGGCATTAGCTGATAAGATGTAAGGGCAGATGGATCGAGCAAGCTCTCAAACTTATAGAATGACTTTTGCATTCATAAGCTCTCATGTTAACGACCTGATAAAAAGTGAGTGGTGTCTAGCTAGTTGATGTGGCAAGATCTTGCCCTCTAGCTGGTCAAGAACAAGTCTTGCGGCTCGCGTCTGGATTGCTGGAAGGAAGCCATGTATGAGTATGAGCTGGCCAGTTCAATTATCACCTATGCAACAATTGTCCTCAAGAGAAAGCTTGCGATCGAGACGCTCCTTCTTTAGTCTAACTACGTCATCCACACAGGGCTTCACGAGGAATTAATCTTTCCTTTTCGACCAAGGACTCAATTAAATTCAATGACCCACGGTAGGAAAAAGCCGAGTAGAGCCAATCTCGTAAGAAATTCCGTTCCTCGCACATAGCTCTAGCTCTATTTCGGGACTAGCCATATGTTACTACTTATGCTACGCAAGAAATTAGTACAGAAGAATTACGAAAACTTCTGTATTCACCTGAAGATTAAAGGTTTGAACTTGAAGCCTGGGAAGGTGGGGACTCGACGTGAGATCATGAGTATTGAAACACTGGTAGGTCTCTTGGGTTTTGGAAGGATGCAGAGTTGTCCAGGATTACATGAGTTTACATTTGCGGACAGAGTGCGGGTATGTAGATTCGTGTACATTGATGTGAAGCTGAAGTTCATGATCCTGTAGACAAAGTCGTCTCGTCAACCAGCCACGATGCCAAGCATGCGGTCGTGAAGCTTAACAGCCCGGGACTCATCACTACAGTCAAGGCTCACATCTTTGTAGGCCGGTTCGTTTGGTCTGAAACGTTGACTACGGACTTCTTGGACAATCTGTTCACCAACGACCATGGCCCAAGCTGACAGACTAAAGCAACGTGGCGCACGACTAAGACCATACGCAGTTAGCGAGAAGGTCCAGCCCGTCCAGGCGGTGCGCCCAAACCTGCGTTGAGGCTGCAAGACACTGTCAGCATCTAGGCCACGTCGGGATAAGCGCCATTCCCGCCCCCAAGGGATTGAGCTACCGGCTCTTCAAGGGGGGAATCCGAGGAGGAGAAACATGATTGCAATCGAAGTCGCAGAGCCTCCCTTTCACTTCATCTCGTAATGATCTCATAGTCTGTGCACACAAACAACAAACAACATCCCAACGGCGAGCGAACACGACTCAAGCAGTGCTTCACCAGGATATCAAACTCGAGAAAGCGACTCCACTGCAGACCGCAGACCGCAGACCGCAGTCCTATACAGAGTCGAGATGTCGGTATCAGCTTATCTCACCGCTTTTGGCAAGGCATCGCCAGCAACGTACGCCCTCGGTACCGGGCTCCTCGTCACATCATCACTCTTCTTTGGAAACATCGGCCTGACTCTCACCGGGCCACTTCCAATCATCAGGGACCAGCTTGGCGCGTGCACTTTGAGCTCCAAGCAAAAGATCAAAGTATGGAGGCTCTTCTTCGACGAAGCTTCTGTGAGTGATTCTGCCCCCCTTGCCTCGTCACCAGCTGTCATCTCGAAAAGATGAGATGGCAAAGCCCCATGATGGCACGATGAAAGACTGATGAGTATTGACGCCTCGTGCCAGAAATACATCATCGGCGGCACCGGCGTGACAGCAACGCTTCACCTGGCTGCCTTCGCCCTAGGGGACTCACCCGTTTCCCGCAGACTTTCCATCATGTCGGCGCTTTGCAGCATTTGCATCCTGCCGTACACTCTCATCGTCATCATGCCCACCAACAACAGCCTCATCGCTCTAGACGACAAGGTGGCTCTGTCGGAGCTGGACAGGAAAAAGGTCGGGTGGCTGATTGAGAAATGGGATCGGCTGCACAAGGTCCGCTTCATGATGTATGGATGCGCATGGGCCTTGGGTCTTGCTGCGTTCACGTCTTCATTGTGAGCTGGATCTGTATGGGAGTACTGAGTTGTTGAGAAAGCTTGGCTGGTCGTGGCTTTTCTTTTGTTCTTGTTTTTCTGAATGGGTTCTAGGTCTGATGATCTGCGATGGCTCTGCCTAATGTTCCAGATGTAATGTTAAATTGGATATGAGTGAACACGATAAACCTGATAATTGCCGTTTGACCAGGCGAGCCATTTCGCCCGCCAAACCAGAGTGAGGCTAAAGTATAAGCCATAGCTTGAGGGGGGAAAGCACGACAAGGAACCCTGATGATTGCTACCCAGCAGCTGACATTATGACAAATTCACGAGCCGATCGTGGTTACTTAAGCTTGATAATAAGCAAGAATACGTGGCCTATCAGGTACGAGGTGCATGTGATGAAACTCCAAGGCCTCATGGCAAGAAAGCTTCCACGGACTATAGACCCGATGTGACCTGGAACACGTGCTTCTTCGCTGTCGTGAAAGTTTTGGGGGAATGAACCATGCCCCGATTTCTAGCAAGAGCCCGAGTCTCCGGACTCCGTGGAAAGTTTGGCGGCAACTGCACATCGCCACTCCATGAGCCGATCGTCGTTGGCCGATCGTACCGTGGTGATCCTCAGGTTGTTTCCCCGGCATATTGTGCCGTGGCCCTCATCCCAGTATCTGCCAGTTCACAGTCTGAACCAGAGGCCGTTCCTGTTGTGCAATATAACTGAATATGGCCAACTCTACCCCATCATCGGGTATCAGCGTTGTGATTCATCGGTCGAATCTGGCAGTAGCGGGGAGTTGTGGATTTAATGGCTATTATTCGAGACTAAGACTAAGTGACTAAGTATTCGACGTTGAACTGTAACGGCTGTTCACACACGGAATCAGGATGGGACAGCTGTTGACCCGAAAAAGAAGAATTTCCGTTTTGTGTAACAACCCCAATGCCATCATCCATCACGGAAGATGTGAGTCTATGTGGCCCATCCATGTGCCTGCCGCCCAACTGAACTCCAAATAGACTTTACCAAATCATTTCCAGAAGCAGAAAAGCCCAGCGCTTGTTCAATCGGGCTCTATCTTCCCCCTCTTCGTCTCAACTCTATGACAATTCAGGGATTCTGGTGCCGAACATGCGGTCATGAATACCTGTCGGATGTTCCCGCTGATATGGTCCTAGACAATGGCTCCCCAATCTGTTATGGACGTGTCATAGAACCGAGAGTGTAGGGTTCAGCTATTGAAACGGCCCTTGGGGTCTGTTATCAAATCTCTTAGGCCATTCGAGTTGCCTTCAGTCTTTTCGATGAAGTCAGGAAGAAAACGTCAAGAACTCTACAAGGCCAGAATCGCCACCGTAAACGTCGCGATCAGAACCGCGAGTCTCAGTCCAGCGCCAGAGATACCCTCAGAAGCCGCACTCTTGCCAGCACCAGGCAAACCGGTGTTATTCTGGCTCTGTCTGAACAGAGGATCCATCGTAGCGTTCTTCGTGACAGGCACCTGGGATCCGGCAACGCAGAACTGCGTGGGATTGCTCCAAGTAGCATCGACAACGCGCTTCCACGCGTTCTCGGGCTTGAAGAGCATCTCGCGGCTGTAGAAGATGCGGCAGTTGGCCGGCTCCCAGAGGAACTGCAGCGGCGTCCGAGCATCGGACATACTGTAGGCGTTCTTAGCGTTGATGGCGCCGGCACTCTTGGGTGTTGTCGCGCGTTTAATGGCGTAGCCCTTTGCCAGCTCGCCGAGCTCTCCGTTCATGATCTCCTCCTTCTTGTCCTTGGGGGTGAGGGCGATGATGGCCTTGGCGTCGGTGGTCATGTCGTTGAAGGCGAAGACCTGGGCGCCTTCAACACCGGCGATGGACTGCATGATGCCAGCCTGGGGACGACCGCCAATGACGGTGGTCTTGATTCCCATTTGGAGGATCATCAGGTAGGAGAAGATAGTGCAGGTTGAACCACAGGTGCCGTCGGTGAAGAGGACCACGTTCTCCGGGTCAAAGACACGGGGGGGCGGGTTGGCTTTGCTGCCGACACCAGTAAGGTTGAAGGTCGGGTCGGTCTGGTTGAGAGGAGCCTGCTGGTATGCGGTGAAGGTGTCTCCATTGAGTGAGACAGGGGCCAGAATCTGGTCGACGGTCGTGAAGGCGGCTTCATCGGGGGTGTATACACCTCCGGGCAGCAGGTTGCTGACGATGGAGCTGCCGCTCAGGGCTTCAATGGCGTCCTTCTCCTCGGGCGTGGTGGCCGTGAAGTTAGCAGGGATGGCAGCGGAGAGACGAGCGAGGTTGGTAAGGCCTTCGGACAGACGGAGGTTATTGGCCTGGAAGCGGTTGACCTCAGGGAACAGCTGTTATGTTGAGTTAGCACTGTACTCTGGAAGATACGCGGATGTGACATACCTGGGCGAATAGTTCGTATCCAGCAACGACAAAACCACCGCCGTTGGCAGCAACATCAATGACGAGGCGCTTCTTTCCGGCATCCTTGCTCTTCTTCAAGAACGTGGCGACGGTGTTTTGGAAGTTGGTCAAGTACTCACTGGCGTCGATGGAATCAGGAGGAGCGAAAGACGAGACAGCAAGCACAGCAACGTCCTCGTACCCAGTTCCATTGAGGAAGTAACCAGAAGTGGTGTTAGCACCGCTGTCACGGACAATCGGGAAGGGATACCCCTCGATCGTCGGCTTAGGCGGCGGCGGCGGGCCAGAAGTCTTGGGCGGGGTCGGCATCGTCTGGTTGGGCTTCATGCCAGGCTGCGACGGCTGAGGCTTGGCGGGCGTGTCGGGATTGCAGAACTTGTTGTAGTAGTCCTCGCCGCTGTTGACGCCGGTGAAGTTTGCGCCGGTGCGGATGAGGGCGAAGCTGTCCTCGGAGCGCTCCTCGCCGTTGTCGTAGGTGATTGTCACCTTGGGGCCCTGGAAGGCGAGGGAGGCGGCGACAACGATGAAACTTTCCTTTGAGGCGTACGACTTGAAGTTGGCGTTCCATTGCGAGTCGGGGTCCTGGTAGCCGCTGAACTTGAGGTTTAGGTCCGAGATCATGGTGGCGGCATCTCTGCCGTTGATCCTGACAATGGCGGGGGCGCTTGAGTTACCGTCAAGCTGGGCTGTGGCATATCAGTATCTAGCTATGGGAATGGAAGAAATGGCACTGCGACTCACCAAGATGGTACAGCTTGGGCACTTCAACACCATCACGCGAGACCGACACAATATCGGCAGCGAGATTGTTACGGAAGCTGAAGCCCTTGAACACGTCACCGCGGAAGGCAAAGTGACCGTCGTGAGCCGAAGCAATCAGCTGGAAAACAGCAAGCTGGAACTCGTACTCGCTCTTGTACGAGCCGGCCTCCGACTTCTTCTCAATCTCGTCAAGACCACCCTCGATATCGGTAGGCGGCAGCATGTACGACGCCGGCGGGTTCTTGAGCCATGACAGCGTAGACTGCCATTGGATATAGGCCTTCAAACTCTTGATGAGGTCCTTGGCGGGGCCTTTCTTGTTCGGCACCGTCTGGAGGCAGTCAAAGGCCAATTGAGCCGGGACTTGGGGTGTTGCTGTTGTTGGAGTAGACTTTTGTTAGCGGATTTTGTTTTGCTTTGCTTTACACCATGACGTCCAACACTTTTGCAGAGGATCTTGGGGAATCCATAGCGTTCTCCGCCGTAATAGTTGCCATCTTGCACCCCTCCCAACATAACATGCTCTTCCAATAACGTACCTTTCGGGCTCGCCATGAGGAATTGTTGGACCTTAGGCTGAATCTGAGCGCACGCTTGACTGTTGCCGCTAGGAACCGTTCCATTGGGAGCGCTGGGCGTTGTCGGTGTTCCGCTGCTCGTGGGAGTTGGCGTTTGTCCCGGGCCCTGGGGAGCCGGCGCCGCCAACACAACGGCGGCCGAGGCCAAAGTCCACCAAGTGAATCTCATCTTGATCGTATCTCGCGAAGTCTTGTTCCCCTTTTTTCTTCTTCTCTTTTTGTACGACTCTCTTCCTCGTATACTTCAAACGCGCCCTCTGACTCTTCTTCAAGAAATAGAAAAGAAACGGATAGCACAGCTATCGGCGAGGCCAGCTCAAAGTCTCGAGACCGAGACGGGCACGGAAAGGAAGGGAAATAATGGGGCTGAAAGCAATTCGCCGAAGCCTGAAAGAGAGACTCAAAGGCAAGAAACGCCGGCGGGATCGACGAGTATATGGGGTTTTAAGAGTTGCATTGTCCTCTTCTCTCCTTTGCCTTCTGGACCAGTTTCCGTGGTCGAAAGGGAACTCGCGAAATAGGCCGGGTCCCGCTCATTCGCTCTCGTTATTCCCTTCTTGGCGGCGGGCGTTCTGTGTCTCTTGCGGCGCGCTGTTACCCCCATGCCCACACACGTCCCAAGTTTGTGCTCCCAAATTATGAAGCCATCATGAAACACGACAACCCTCACATCTTCAGATAAGCATCCGCGCATCCTGGGGGGCCCGACGCTGCAAGATTTAAACTCGGACATCATGCAAGGTCACCCCCCTCTACGACCCTCTTACTACTTAGGAATAGGCCAGATCTGTGCACCAAGATAAATACAGAAGAGGCTTAGGGCAGGCCCCTCCCGAGGCTATACAGCTGGAGTGCGGCGACATTTCAGAGGGCGTCTTCTTGCTTGGCGGTTGATTGGGTTGATGTTTCGGTGCAAATCGGGAGGATTCAGTCTGTCTGAAGTTCCAAGACAGGCTATCCTCGACAACACACACGACACAGAATATCGATGAGTGATAATCGCGCCGGCTATCTACCGGGCTGGGCGTCTGAGGCTTAAAGACTGAGCAGATCAACTGTGTTTTGTGCTGTGGCCTCATTTCCGTGCCTTTCCTCCGTCTCTTCCATTCCTCCCGTGCTCTCCCCCCCTCATCTCACCCTCCTTCATCCCTCCAGAGTCCAGGGCCTCATTGTCCTTGTCCCAAGATACTCACATCACATCCGTATCAGCCCGGCTACTCCCATTCCCCCGCCGCCGGCCAAGCTTCTTGTCGCCTCACCCTTGGCGAGATTCTTGGCAGCCCTACCCTGCTGTAGCAGATCCGGCCGGAGGGAACACATTCCGCACCAGTCACGCTCAACCCCCACCACCACACCACCAACTAACCACTGACTCTGGGCAAAGCCAGATCTTGTGTTGCATACAGGCAAGGAACCCGACTCGCGTGCTTGTCTCCTGGACCATGGACCTCGACCATGATCCATCAGTCTCGGTGACGCCCGGCGCTAGCTCGGATCGAACCCCACGGGTCCTCCAAGCCAGTAAACAGCCCTAAACACCTTTAAACTCACCTTTCGCTCCGTGGACTAAAACAGAGTAAGGGGATTCCCCACGGCCAAATTCGATTCGAAATGGCCCGTCCGGTCCATTTTCCACCCACTTACCCCGTGGACACGGTCTTCTGCGCGGAAGCCTGTGAAGAAGGAGAATCAACGCGCACGGATAAGAGTCCCAGGCCAAGCTGAGGCGAGCAATTCTTGTCAGAACGATGAAAAAGTCATGTCTCTGACCCAAATTTGGTCATGATGGTTTTGCCATTTCCGCTTCGTCTAGAACGCTTCTACCCCGCCACAGCGGAAGAAGCCTTATTCACTTGACTCCTTTTTGTTGATCAACAACCCCTCTTTCTCCCAACCAAAGCTTCGTTAAAAAAGGGTAAGCCGGCGAAACTCTGAATCCATCGCATGATAAGGTAGCGACCGGGGAACCGATCATGTACGCCAAGCGGGATGTTTGTCGATCGAAACTTCACTTTCTTGCACAGATTCTATGGCCAGCCCCGCGGTATGCGGAAACCGTGGAATGCGGATACTCAAAAAGCCAATTCGATAATTCGTCGCCAGGTACGAGAACGACAAATAACTCTTGTTAGTGAGAAAGATAAACAGTCAAGTAATCAACAAACGAGCTTGGCGAGCCGCTCGAACGCTCGCTCCCTCACTCAAATCAAGCACGGGTATCTCAGCATCCGCCACTCTGTCCAGAGTCCCAAAGTCCAAACACCGCCTCAGCCGTCTCTTCCGCGGACCGGTACAACACATCAGTAAACTCCCCTCCTTCTCCCTTCTCTTCCACTTGCCTTCCCCCTCGCCCGAACTATCTTACCGTCCGTTTTGACGCCGGCCGTACCTTATCCCTTCCCTGCCCATCCATGCAATGCGTCCTTCATGCCGCCCCTCTCTCTATCTCTCTCTGTCTGAAGCCAGCTCGCCTCAGACGATGACACCCAAGGCCTCCATTCCCAGTACTCCCATGGCCAAACTCAATCCAGCCCCCGTAGCGGCAAAGCCCACTAGACCTGGACCAGTGCACCGCGCCGCGGCGACGCCTCCGGTGCTAGAGCTGGGAGATGCTACCCCGCCCGTCGCCGTCTTCCCGGCCCCGTTACCGTTTCCGCCGCCGGATACCGGACAGCTCGCTGTGCAAGGGAGAGCAGAAACAAACGGCGTCGGCGCTGTAGTCCCCGTCTCTACCGTCCCCGTGACCGTGAACACAGGCGACTGCGAAACGGCCGTCACATTCGGGGCAACGTTGGGCGCGTCTACGTTGAGTACCGCGTCAATCATCTGCACCACGCCGTTGGCAATCAGGATATTCGTCTGGATGAGCCGCGCCGAATTGACAAAGATATCGTTGTTGAATAACGTGATATCCAAGCTTTTGTTCCCACTAGCAGCAGTCGTGAACTTGGTTCCGTTTGTCAGTGAGGAAGCTTGCACCACCCGCGAGGGTACCAAGTGGTACTGCAACACGCGGCGCAGCGCTTCCTTGCTCATACCCGAAAGCGTGCCAGCAACCTGCTGGAAGGCAGCGTTCCTCGGTGCAAAAATAGTAACGTTCGGCGTCTCGGCAAAGTCGGCTACGAGGTCTGCGGTGTACAGCGCGCCAAGAAATGCTGTCAGGTCCTGGTAGGCGTCGCGGGCGGTTGTCTCGAGGCGCGCGGGCGTGACCATGAGGCTGTCGATGATCTGCACGAAACCGCCATCAAAGGGGACGTCAGTCTCAAGGACTGTTGTTCGGGATGCGACGCCCGATGTGATGACCACATCGTCGTTGGGTTGTTTTGTGACGAGGATGGTTTGGCCGCCCGTCACGTTGGAGAAGCGTGTGTCGGTGAGGAGGGTGGAGAGGATGCTCGAGTCGCCTGGGGAGAAGGCGTCGAAGCCGACTTTGGTGTCGATGATGCCGTACTGCAGGGCGATGGCGATGGCGTCCTTGTCTGTGTCCCAGCCTTGGCCTTTAAGGTATGCTGAGTCACTGGGGGCGAGAATCTAGCATCTTTTGTCAGTGGTTTCTGCTTGCGTTATGCATTACAGTCAAGGCTTCTTGACGTCTATGCGCTGGAACTGCTGCTGAAGTGACATGTTCCAAACGGATGGACTGCATCAAAAGTTTTCTTCTGACTGGTCTGAAAATGAGACACGAGAGCGAAAAAAGGGCAAAGCTTACCGTAACGCCGGATTTGGGTAACTTCGAGAAGATGTCTGCGTGGTCCTGCGCCGAGAGTTGTTAGCTGTAATTACACTGAATGTGGATGAGGTACAATCAAGTCTAGAGTCTACATCACAGGTTCGCCCAAGGCACCGAGGTCCGGTCGTTGTTGCGCATGCAACGCGCAAGAGACATATGTCTCGGACATGGACCCGCGGACGAAGGTGCGTTCAAGATCTGAGCGTTGCACTTTTCACTTCTCTTCTTACCTTGACCAGTTCGCGGAACGTTGTCAGGTTTGCTTGTTTGCTGAGGACTTCTTCTAAACTCTGGGTTGCGACTGTGGGTATGCCTGACACCACCAATGCGACGGTAGCCCACAGGGCGTTTGTTGATGGCCTCATCGTCGGGAACGTTCCGCGTGCTTCTCCGAGAGGGACTTGAATCCGGAGTCCTCGAGTAGAAGATCAAAGGCTGATAATCTGAAGGATATTTATTTTAGAAAAGAGGCGATAGCGGCGCAGTCACAAGCGTCTACTGCGTGCTCGGCACTTCTAGCAAACAGCACACACAAATGTTGGTAAACCGGTGTGTTTGCGAAATCAATGGATCAATAGATGAAAGGAAGAAAACAGAAGGTCTGACAGAAATCTCCGAGCGTTGTACAGGATGCAGATGACATTTTGAAGGGCAACTAGTCAACTCTTCATTCTCTTCTCAACCTTCCCAATTCGCAATCCCGCATCTCGCATCTAGGCGGCGACGCGGGCCTGGACCCCCTGGTTGAAGCAACGGGACAGGGTCGCAATGCAGCATGGCAAGAGGATCGCGGCCCTTTCGCTGGCGGACATTTTGTGGCTTCGTTCAGCGCGACCCTGACACCACTTTCGAGCAATCAAACACCAGCTTCATAACTTTTTAAGCTTCTCAGCTCTTTCCCCCAGTCGAAGTTGGCTTCAAGGAGCTGACTAGTTCAAGTGTAAGTAGCCAATCCGGGGATGGCGTGGACTCTCACGACTTTGCAGGATCGTGCGAAAACGTGGTGAAGGGTGATGGAAGGAAGCTTAGGACGTGGCGTGGACAGACGCAATTAAACTTGAAGGGCTGACAGCCTGAGAGAGATGGTCAAAGTGCCACGCTGGTCAGCTTTTAGCGTCATGTTCTTGTGCCTGGACTAGGACCAAGAGGGTGCATCGCGCGTCTGTAGACGAACCGGGGTGTCTGGGTGGTCCTCTAGGTTCTGGGGAAAGGTCATTCGTTCAGAACTTCCAATGAGACCAGCCGAATGGCACGCAAGATTAAGCCGAGTTGGATGCCACTACGAGTCTGTGCCTGAATGATGGGCTTGGAGCGGCGCGGGAGATCTTCATTGTGCGGGCGGAATGTGGGCAGTTCGTGTCCAAAGCAGAGTGTGGATGAGGGAACTCCGTCAATCCAATTACTCGGTCCCCTGGAAGTTGAATACCACAACCAGATCACCAGGCTATCCGTCAGGCCCTGGGGGTGCGTTCGAGGTATTTTCGGGGCCTCGAAACTGTTCATAGACCAGGGGGCTCAAATCGGCGGCACGGCTCAGCTGCCAAGCCAATACGCTGCTTCTAATTGATGATTGCATGTCAGGCTGCAACAAAGTGTGACTGAAATCGGCCACGACCGGGTTCACGACGAAAAGTGACCGGTTGTATGGATGCTACCGCCCCTTGCGATATTCTAGGCAACTGTTCACCTTCTCCGGGTTCTACAATTGTCGGCCCCTCTTTATCGGCGGACCCGACCCCGTTCCCCGGCACAGCACCTGCCGCGTGGGTCCCGGTTGACAGCTTCGGTGGGTTTCCTTGCTGAAAAGGGACGATGTAATGGTGGCTTAGCAGCGACAAGCGCCGCTTACGGCAGCTGGCGATGATGATCGTGATACGCTTCTTCATGTCCACAGCCACGGTTGGTGATGCAATCGAGCAGGCGACCCGTTCTTTGGAACTTTGGGTTCCCAGTTTTTGCTTACCTCTTCTCGTTGCCTACGGCGAGACAGAACTACAAAAGCATTTGACTCTGCTCGTCTCTAGACACGCCAAATTCCCATCTTTACGCCACACTTCATGACATCCAGATCAACAATGTCTTACCCTCCAGAAAAGCAAAAAGAGCCGGCGTACTCCTCTGCCGCGGACACTAGTCTGGGAGCACCTCCTCCATCTTACGAAGAAGCCGTGCCGAATGCGGCGCAAGACGCCTTACCAGAATATGGCAACCTATCAGACAACCTCCACGTAGAAGCCGGACCCTCATCATCGACTACCCTCACAGCCGCAACACACAAGTTTCCGCCTATGCTAAACTGCTACTTTCAATGGGCCTTCACGCGAACCTTCATTCTCGGCCCCTCCAACGAGGAGAAACTCTTCGCCGCCTCGCCGCACGCGGGCTGGCGCACCAAGAAGCGAGAAATCATCCTCCACGACGGACCCTCAAACGAGCACCCCGTCCTCGCGACGATCGGCAAGTCGTGGGCCGCGAAAGCTCAGACGCCTGCGACGATCGCAATCCCGCCCCGGGAAGAACGCGGCGAGACAACCGGGGTTGAGACGGAGATTAGCGGAGTGCCGTGGAGCCTGGACCAGAGTTCAGCACGTGTGTTTTCAATGACAGTCGGGGGAAAAGAGACGGGGACGGAAGCGAGGACGGAGAGGTTTCAGTGGAGGGGCAGTCGGGGCGGGGAGGTCTCTGAGCTTGCTCACGGAGGCACGTATGGGTGGAAGTTGGTCAGGTTGAATGAAGTTGCCGAGGGCGCTGGGGGGAGTAGGCGAGAGAGGGAAGCTGGATTCACGAGCGATGGACATGAGATTGTTGCTCTTCTGGCAACGAACTACAAGAGCTTAACAAAGGGGCTGAAGTTCTCGTTTGCTGGGTCGGGGCTGACGGGGGAGTTAGGGGAGAAGTGGGAGATCGTTACGGTCGCGACTGCGTTGTGGACCTGGTATACTCACATTGAGGGCACTGAAGGTTCATGATCTTGATGACGGACTCAGATAAGGATAGATCTGTCTTTGCGTTTACATATACCCCCGATCAATGCATGACCTACTTAGAACACAAGGACTTCGCCATTCGCTGCGATGAGGAGTATCATCTTTCTATTGAGCGCTTACAGCAGGCACCCCAACAGTGCCAAGGCAACTGCGACATCAAACATTAAGCAATCTAGCAGACAACCTATCACGAGTCTGTGAAAGCGTTTAGTCACACAGACGAGGACCGGCTGTCACCCGATTATTCGGTGAAGGCCGGGAGCAACCGAATAATTCGCCGGGCCGTCGACCCCACTGATCCTCTTGCCCTTTCCGCAGTTGGACCCTGCCAGCATCAACCCCGCAGCAGAACGAAACAATCATACTGACCTTAGGTAATCACCCTGTCTATCAAGGGCGTGCTTCCAATCTCATCAAGTGAATGGCAATCGTCTTTCTCTTTGCACCATCTCGTCATATTCTCCATCTCACCGGTAGTTACCAAACGAACGTAACAAGGTATCACCGCAGCCATGTCGAGGTCCAAGAAGAAGACCGAGGAAACCTTCCGTAAAATCATCAACAACTGCAACGCGGGCAACGAGGCCGGCCTGGAATTCCTCCTTCACATGAGATGCGTCAGATTTAACGGAGAAGATTGCCTCACTGGCGATTTTGCACATCGCCTAAACCGACCCTTGGGGACAAACAGCACCAACGTAGTGAAGATCGACACGATTCTCGTTGGTGGGTTCTCCTCAAACCTTGCCGCCCGTCTTATCAACAGAACAACACTGCGAGACTCTGGTACGGTCTTTGAGTATGCGGAAATTGTCTTTGCTGAGTTCATGAACGATTCCCTCTTCGGATGGCGTTCATTACGGGACGAGGTCGCGGTTTTCAGTCGGGAATTCTCAGCGGTTCCCACGACGCCCTCGCCGGCGCCGGCGAGTCAGCCATCGTCTGAAACGTCAGTGCAAGACATGAAGGCGTTCTATCAGAGATACATCAAGTGCATCAACGACAGAACAATGTCCCGGAATTTCACCCAGTTCTGTCAACCAGAGTTGATCCACAACGACCGCAAGTTTTCCATCGCAGAGTACATACCCCTCATCAGCGAGAGCCAAGACGCAATAGACGACCTGTACTTTGAAATCGACGAAATGGTCGCGGAGGAAGAGATGCAGCAGATTGCGGCGAGACTCAAGTTCACGGGGACTCCCATCAAGGAGTGGGGAGGCGTGAAGCCCAATGGCAATGAAGTCGAGTTTCATGAGCATGTAATCTATCAGTTGGTGGACGGGAAGATCTCGAGGGTGTCGTCGGTTATAGAGTTGGATGTGTATCGCCAGCAGATGATGTGACCTCAGCGGGAAGGAGTCTAATGAGAAATAAAGACATTCAAACTAAAGAAAGAACAGACTCATCTATAAAGGTGGACAGCAGCAGTTCTATGCCTATTACCTAACTTGCCGACACGCACTGAAGATCCAATCTAATAATATCAAAAACGAGGCCGTTTAAGGCCTCATATCCCCGGCGCTGATCCTATCCTTACTTGATAACTTGATCTAGCCATTCCCGATTTGTGCCACGACGGGGGCACTTCAAAGTTTCGCCCTTAGTCGCGGTGGTGTAAACTTCTATCATCCAGAGAATCCAATTCCCGCAATGGTATGCTTTCTTCCTTGCTGATCTTCTTATACCCCTCTTTCCGAGTTCTCAATCATTTCAAAGAGCGCTTGATGCCGAGTACAAGGCAGACCGTTAACCCAATGAAGGCGATGCCCGATATCCAAGCTCTCCAACCCCTGAAACAGCACGGGTAAAGCGACATGAAGACGCCAACCCCTCACTACAAAAGATTCCTCCTTTCCAGATGATCAGGAAAGAGCCCCTTCCTGACGAGCTGCTTCGTATTCGGTCCAGTTGGGCCAGAGACATAGCCCTTCAGACCAAAGTACGGTACGATTTTCTGGCGTGGATGGTCGTCGGGGTATTGGAAGTCTCCCCATATCCCTGAATAGTGCAAGAACGATGTAAGGTTAGTAGACGCCTTCCTACCGGCGGGCAAGATGCTCGTCAGCAGCGACGTTTCGGGATCGAATTAATAGTAATATGCTGACGATAAGGGATCCCAAGATTGACCTGCGTCACAGTAGTCGAGCAGCACCGAATCGTGGACGTAGTCACTGGACGAACAATATTGTTTATACGATGTCAACGGATTGAACAAAATAGCGTACTCACCCAGTAGATGCCCAATTTGCGTGAGAATCCCAGGCGCTGTAAACGACGGGCTAAAGACAATGTTAGATGCTTGGTCGGATCGGACGAATAAACCAGGGCTACGGCATACCCGCCCATTCTCCACGGATGGAGCCTTGTCATCCCACTTATAGCCAGAGCCTAAGGAGTGTTAGCTGTAGTAAATACCTGTAGGTTTCCCCTCGTGAAATCGAATTATGTTATGCTCCCTGTCCACAAAACGTCAGTGAATGCAATATTATTAATACGGATATAGCCATTGAGCTAACCATTCACCAACATGATCACTAACATGATCACCAACATGATCACCAAAGTGCATTCCATGCTCAGTATCTTCTAACAAAACATTCATAGGCGGAAGAATTTGAGTAATATTTGCCCCTTAGAAGTAAAAGGCACTCAGATCTACTTAACCCCTATCGACGGCAATAACAACGCAAGACGTAGCAGTATAGAGCTTACCTGACTCATCTAGTGTCTCTCCTAAAAGCCAAGTAGGAAGATTAGTAATATCGCCATTTGCAGTCAGCGAAACTAGACCGTTGTTCCAATAAACGTTCAACATAACCAGATTATCGAGATCAAGTTCTGGCAGTCCCTTGATAGGCTCCACATACACCATCGGCCTCGTATGGCGTACATGTTCGAGGATGTCTACCAGCCGGAATGGGTCGTCAGAGTGAAGCCGCATCAACGGCGCTTTTGTAAGGTACGGGCAGGTCAGTCGATATATCGACCTAAGAGCTTGCCAGTTCCAAACTCCAGGAATCTATCAAAAAGAGCGAGCCTTCGAAAGTAATTAAGATGTTTTCCTACCATGACGAGTGACATATTCTGGCACTATCCTCTCGGCCTCGCGAGAAGGTAGTAAAGAGTGATGCATATTGCTCCCATCCGGGATAATAGTGCGGTAGAAAAGAAAACGCTTGCAAGTAAATCCAGGATATTTTACCAGCGACATACGAGAGAACGAAGGCCGACCATACCGACGGCGGACCTTGTTTGTCCAAGTAAAGTTACCGCTTTGAATTCCTTAACAGGGTTTTATATTAGAAATCAGGTACTCCGGTTATATTCTAACTGCGTAGAACAGTGTTATATCGCCCAACAGCTTCCGCAGCTATCTAATAGGGGACTGCAAAGAAAACTTCACGACTACAGGTATAAGGAAGCCCTTATTTCCGCCCGGGAGAAGACCAAGATCAGATGGTCGAGTATTCCGAGAGCCCCTCAGCCCGCAGGGGCCGTTGGCTGGCGTGGCAGCCTGATGCTATGTAACCGCACGCATTGAGACTGGAGATATCAAAGGGCTCAGTACCGGCCTTGATCAGTAGTTCAGTACCTATTGAAGCACTGCGAACAATTCTCAGCTGCATGTTACTGAACGGTAGCTAATTGGCTGCATTGCCAAGTGTCTTGGTCCCGGACAGTTGGTTCGAGTCTGTACGACACTTGGGAGAAAGGATGCGCGCTTCACCACCGCAACTCATTCGCTGGTCGCACTCATCTCAGTACTGATGGATTTCCTCTCAAACCCCTTGGATTTCTGGTCTTCATCCAGGCGAAGCGCAGCTCTCTATCAGAGAACATTGATGTTGTATTTCTGAAAGGGAAAAAAAGATGGGAGACCACACCACGTGGACGATCAAATGTGTATTTGTGCGAAACGCCACCCGAACGGTGCAATCAGGAACAAAGTGTATTCCTATCTGGAGTTGTCTGTTGTATGCAGTCGCATCCATCTCACACCGGTTTCCCAGTTCAAGGCGCGATTAGTAGCCTGCTGCTCACACCCACCTACCTTAAACAGCCATGCATCGACCAAGCCTCTGTGTTTTTTAAAGTGGCTCCTTCTTTTCGTTCTTCCCCTTTTATTTACTTGGCGGGAACAGGGACATCGCACAGTCACATCGTACATGGCTTCGACGCGATGGCTAGTGGTGCCACGGCAGGCAATATTTCTCAGCCGCTTTGTTGTCCAGCACATTCCCACTGACGCCAAATTACTGGCCCCTATTCCTTCGAGCTGAGAGCCTCAGGGGAAGCTCAGACACTGTGACACACAACTGAAGCCTTCGCCGGCATCAATATGCCTCTTTATCTGGCAGATTCATTGGCATTGGACAGCCTCTTCCAATCGGTTGTTGTACTCCAGATTACTCCGTTTTCGAGAGGAGCTTCGATGGATGTCCTCCATGCTGCAGTCGTTCAACGGTGGGAATGGAGCCGAGCATCGAGGGCCACGCCAGGACAACTTCTTCCTTCTTCCCGTCTCTGCAATAGCGCAGCCAGACGCCGTAAGTCACGTTGATATAGCATGCAATACCGGTGAATAGGTGCCTAGCTCGCTTGTCAGCTTCTTTCTTGTATCCGACGTGAACCCACACTCACCACCATCCATGGCCCTCAAGGAGAATGCCCCAAGGAAGTCCGAGCTCTCGTCGCCGTTGTCGAAGTTGTGAGCAGAGAATGTTGTCGAGGTTCCAAGCTAGAAATCCAATGGCTATGGAGACAAGACCACAAGTGATCAATGTCCACATTTTCTTGAGGAGCTGTATGTCAAGAAGCTCAGCCTTGCTCTGAGGTTTGGACTTGGGCCGGAGTATCTTCTCCATGATGTACATGCTTCGGAAGACAACGGTAGCTGTGAGGATTCCAAACATGACTTGGTGGAAGACGGGATCCCCGAGATAGTGGTAGTACACGGTGATGAAAATGGCCAAGCTAGTAACGAAGGTGCCCAGAAGAGCCTGGCCAAATGAAGATTTTCCGTGGGAAAATACCGCATAGAAGAGGATGCATGTGGTATATATCATTGACAGCTCATCAAACAGCTGCATCCAGTCTTTTCCAAGTGTTAGTACCGTAACACGACATTGTCAAGGACTCCAGAAGCAACGAACATTTTAAGGAGGTATGGTAGACCACGCTTGCGATACCAATGGTCATGTATCCGACATATGCCACCAGAAATACCCGTGGATGGTTGTTCCGAATACAGCTGGAGATTCCAACTAATGCCAGGTAGACGAATATCGCATTGGTGAAGGTGTTGACAAACTCAGCCACGTATGATGTGACATAGTAGTCCTGGAAACCTCAGTCAACATCAGTAAAATTCGATTAGATGTTAGAAGTTCTTTGTAGATCTTCCTGAAATATAGCGCAACAAGCCTACCTCCTCGCACCAGTTGATGGTTGCTGTCACAGGGTTCCAGAACCCGTCACTGGAGGGTGGGTAGGGTAGTGATGGCAACGGAAAAGGCATTCCGGCTTGGTATGAGGCTGCAGAAAAGGAGACGGCGATGGAGAAAATGAGCTGAGCACCGTAGACTTTTCTGTGAGACTTGGATTGCCTTCTCCGAGGGGTAGGTGTAAGCACGGCTACAGCGCAAAGCTGCACTTTGATCACGCTGTTTCTTAGAAGCTGTCGTGGTCGAACCGTCTATGTTGAGATGTTACACGCCAGAACAGTGGAAAACTCATGAACATCCCGGTGGTTTGCACTGAGTGGTGCGGAAGGCGGAATGGGAGATGCTGAGGATTATTAGAAAGTCGTGGATTGGTGAAAAGTCTAAGTGTGTCTGGCTCGTTCTTAAAAAGGGCGAGTCTGAAGCCACAGTATGGATATCCGGCAAGTTGCAGGGTTGCCGTTCGTACCGATACCGAGCTGAGTAATCGACTGGATGTTAATCCGTCAAGGTCTAAGTAGGTGGAGTGGGTACTCGCCCCGGCTGAATTAAGACAGATTTATCTGCCCAAATAGTCCCGAAAACCCTCCCTTCGGAATGCACAACTTAATCCCACTGGAAGCTAGACAGCAAGGTCCTGCTCATAAATATATGCAGAAATTGACTTGTGATACCGATCGACTTGCACAAGTTCGACCAAAACGAGTTCCTATGATTCAATTCCACTGAATACAGGACGAGTCAGTTCCAACTCTGCCTTTGCATAGGTAGGTATTTGGTCCACGTACCCGATGACCGAACCCTTCAGCTTGGAAATTCTGCTCTGATCACGCACCCTTATAGAGGCCTATTGCCGCCCTCGATAAGCTTGGTCGAGTCCAATTACTCCAGTAATCAGCCATGCTGAATATAGCTTCAGTTGTGTAGCCTCCGCAACTTCGAGTGCATGTCATGATACCACTGAACGATGACAAAGTGAGCATGCCCACTGGGAGGAATACATACGAGAAAACCACTTGACTCTCGGGTATCGAGGCTCTCACCTCCTGAGGCTGCTTACTTGTCGGAAGATTGACGCTCTCTGACCTACCTCCTGGGTGCTTCCCAGAAAAGAAGGTGGCTCGAAAGTTGACATTCTCGTCCAGCTCCATGTCTTGCGTTCTTGCATGATCTGTCAAGAGGTGATGACATACAGGATTCTGTACGGCTGCTCAACATGGGCGTTGTTAGGTTCCTCTCCCCAGGCCCAAGGCTGCAGTATCTTATGTAACAGGTAAAAACCCTGGTACGTCCTAGCTTTCATGAAGTTCTGGAGCGCTTCTTTCTCGCTATCAAGTTCATGTCATAGTCGTACACTATTCCATGTTAGCAAGATAGTTGACGATTTTCGACTTTCGGCTCCAACCTTAATGCTGCACCGCCTTTCTCGATGCTAAAGATGTCTTCAATTTTCATTTCCTTCGTACTGGTTACCTTTCTCTGCTGGCCGTGCCTCGCAGTATACGTAGCCAAAGACCATTTCAAAAGCTGGTATTCCGAATTTGGACCTACCTTCGAAGCCATCGTCGAGGGCAACTGCTCAGCCGAGTACGAGAGATACTTGACGATACCGAGAGAAAATGCCCTCATCGACTGGTCCACCGGAGGCGACAACACGAACAGGCTCGCTCAGCCTGTCGTAAATTGCATCCTGGGCAACACGTCCGAGTTCATCATGAGCAACATGGTAGCCGCCGTAGTTGTCCTCGGTATCATGCCAACAATCCTTGCCACAGTCGGAAACAGCGTGGAAGAGACCTCTACGCTCTGCGTTATTGGCCAGAGACCACTTATCGCCTTGCTCGCTGCTGCTAGATCGCCTGCTATCCATCCTATTCGATCATTCGAATACATGAACCCGTTGAAGCTGGTCAAGTCCCGGCGCTACCGATTGCGCACCAAAAGATCGTCTGTGTCGCTCAGGAGGGTTGCTCTTGCGATCGAATTCCTTGCTGCGGTCGCGGCCGTTATCAACACGTATGCACTTTGAAATCAGCTGGGGGTAATGGTTGTCAGTATGCTTGCCCCTCAGCTGACTTACTTGGAGTTTCTCTGGAGTACCATCGGTATCAGCTCCCACTTTTCCGCGGCAGCTAGCTCGTGGGCCCGAACGCCCATCAAATCTCGCCCATGACGCGCATACATCTGGAAGATACTCTTGCGACAATTCAAACCTCTTGATGAAGACGACTGGACCAATGCTGAGATTTGCGACGACAAAACTTACCTCTCAATGGTCTTGTCATACTTCACGTCTCTGCTAGGTACGTGCCATCTTATTTACGGCAGTGTGTTATTTTCCAGTCTCGTTTTCCATCTATGCGACAGACAGTCTAAAGATTATGACTCGCTATATGGCATCAGCGATGGTTACTTAGCAGGTTCATCTTACTGTGAGAGCTCTTCTGGTTGCGAGATATCCTGGGTAAAACTAAAGAGCTGTTCTCGCCAACTGGATCGATGGAATTGACCAGTTTCATCAAGGTTGTCGAGCGAAGTAGCAAGATCTAGCATCAAGGAACGACCACAGGTTTGAGATGAATAAAAGGGTTTTCTGAGTTGAGCAGGCTGCTTAGTCCTGTTAATGCTATTAAGAACGATACTGGTCCTTGAAAGCCCTTGATGCCGTAACAAGACATCACCGATGAAAACAAAGCTACGATCGCAATTGAAAGAAATTATTTTGCTATCGACCTTCGGTAATTGGTTTACGACCCGAACTGAGAAAGTTAAATTGCTGCCATGCCCACCTAATGCGTGATCATCGAATTGTTTCGTCAAACTCGGATCTACTTTCTCCTCCTGCAGTAACCTGCCATGTTTGATATCTGCCCGCGTAGCAAGACATAAACCAATCAATTTCTACTGGTTCGCGGAATTTCAAGATCCGCATAATTTGGTCTATCATTCGTAGGCCTCCTGGCGTCTTGCTGTGAGGTAGAAGATTGATCCAGAAAGCGATCGTATTCCACTGCCCTGTTTAGATATAAGTTCTTGTCTTGTTGACTCGACGACAAAGCTCTCAGAATCATGTACTTTGTAGAGGTTAGAAGCATCATTCGTCGTCCAGGCTGTATTTCCTCGGCAAGGAGAATATCCCTACGGATCCTTTCGCGACTCTCTGCCGTTGTAGCAACCTTCGGTATAAATCCATATAGCCGAGTTTCAAAATAGCCTACGCGGGATCCCACTGATTTAAACAGGTTACCTAACCTATCTAGTAGAGGCCATGGTTGCGGACTTTGGTAGATTAGCAATTGAAGACAAGTTGCTTGTAACGGGACATCCCCCAACTCTTCTGCAACCTCAAGCACCATTCCAAGAGCATAGTTATGTCCCAAGTTACTAGAGGTATCGGGGTCCCATTCAGGAGCCTCATCATCATCAGGTGCATACATAATCATGCCTTCAAGAGGTACGATGACCCTTGGCCGGTCGCAAATTCCTCGCAATCGTCTGAGGTGAGAGCTGAGGGTGAAGAATCCCGCGATCTTCGGATCGGCGTACTGCTCCAGCAATATCTTTGCGATAATCCAACGAAGATACGGCCGAGATTTCGAGTTGGTTGACTTAATTTCGAGAACCCCTCGGGCATAGCGTTCGGTGATTCGGAAGATTGCCTTCACCATGCCAATGTCCTCAGAGCCTTCCATAGAAGCCAGAACAAGTGTTGTAAAAATTTCTAGGAGAGCGAATGACGAGCTCTCGTCTCCTATGGTTGTTCCCCAGTTGTTTTCGATACTTCGGATGAAATCAATCGGCTGTCTGTGGCTTCCGTCCTGGTGGAGGTGTTTCAGTGTCACATAAACGGAACTCTGCTGTATAACCAGTAGCTCGTCGAGGAGATCTCTGAAGTCCCATATTCTTGCTTCTGCCAATAAATGTTGATAAACTGTGGCGAGGCTATGGTGCTTGAGGAGAAACTTGTCGGTTGCCTCAAAGTCATACTCAGGAAGCCCAATCGATAGTAGCACCGAAAACTTACTTGAGAGTCAGCTTCAACTATTTCTCGACCTTTGTTTCGAACAAGCTTTTCACTTACTTCTGTTGAGTCCAGCTTAGGCCAGTGCCCTTTGGTGTTCGCGAAGAAGTACGACGGATTTAAGAACTCCTCAACTGCTCTCTCAGATTTCAGAAGCCTGACCCCAGAAAGGTATTCAGCTCGATGAAGTTGTCCAATGATGCTCACGTGAACGGCTCCCGAGCGGGGTTCTGAGTCCATGGTCTCAGTAATTCGAGCAAGAGCGTGGAAATCTGACATCGCCACAAGGCTCGAACAGTACTGGTCCAATACATATGGGTTGTCGATGGAATGTATCAAGTTTTGTTTGAAATGCCTTTGGGCAGCTTTGAATCTCCCTAGTCTCACAAGCCTTACGTAATTCTCCAAGTCTTCCTCCAGATCTTCTGTCGCTTCGAGTTCCGAGTGAACTGTCATGTCTTGTGGGCAATGAGGGTTGACCTGAATACGGATGCCGCGGTGGGGCTTGTCGCCAGAACAATGTTGGGCTTCGTAGGCTGGTCGAGGATTAGGAGGTCCATAGACTGGAGGATTTGGCTGAACGTTCAAGTGAGGTCGTAGATAACGAGGATTCTTGGGTCCGGCTCGGACTTCAGGATCTATATTCCCTTCAGCTCCAGAAGCGGCGTCACTTTCGGTAAAAGAACGCGCGCTAGATTCAGAGTCCTCATAGATTGTCGACAAGCCCGGACCGGGCTCCAAATTCACGGTATGAGCAGGGGGGCTTCGGGGTCTTTGAGGGAAAAATGTACCCCCCTGGGACTGCTTTCTTGACTCTTCTTTCGCGGGGATATGATGCTTGTGCTGGTCGTTTCTGTCGGAATGCTGATCGCTAGTGACCGTAGGGGCCTTCGATTGAGGTCGGAACGATTGTGAAGATGCGTTGGTGACCTCTGGGGAGTATTGCACCATCTCTTTTCCGGACGGCGGCGGGTATGAGCTGGAGCCAAGTGACATTAGAGCTTGATTCAGTCTTCTTCCTTCTTCTTGGAGAAACGACAGCCTGACTCGAAGCTGGCTCTGGTAGGCTTTGTGGTCGGAATACGGCATACCGCCACGGGACGATCCCCATGGTTTTGGGCCAAATGGACTTCGATCCATGATGTAGGAATCTTCCACCAGACACGAGCAGTTCGACTTCTGCGGCGGTGGCAAAGCACTGTTTTCGAAACGAATAATAAACAGAAGAAGCAGAATGTCGAGCAAAAAGAGAGAAGGGGATGAGTGCGTCTCAATCAGGCTGCGACTCAATAGTAAGCTTGCATGACCATGCCCGCGTCCAACGAAACAGCCACCCCGAGACACCGAAGCGAATGAGAACTATTGCCGCACCGGAGTTGGCACTCATTACCCCTCGTTCGACTGCTGGGCGAGAGGGTTATCACTGTCTCATGATAGGCGCCTTGGAGCTGGGCGTCGATTCCACTTGCAGCCCTCGTTTATGCACAAATGCTGAATGCCTGTTGTCTCTTACAAAGGAGAGGGCTTCTGCCCCAGCCTAACCTCCTCGCACTCTGCGAGCCTCGCTCGTCTTTCAAGGAATACCAACCTTTTCCTCTACATTCTTGTGTCGTGCGGCACTAAGACATCCGCGACATGGCTGACACGGCGTTTCGACATCAAGCAATCGAAAAACGACAGCCGCTTCGTCCCGGGCTCAAATTCCGCAGGTTTGGCCGACAAGATTTCGAACGCTTTGATCAAGAGAAAGCCTGCGGTCCCTACCTACCTGGAGGATCAAGCGCTAGTGTCGGAAAAGTGAAAATCGACTGCATGTACAAATGGAGAAAGGCACAATGGGGTGTTCTTGGTTCTAATAAACAGCCTGCCGGCATTGTCTACATTGACATGACGATAAGGCAGCCTCAAGGACATACACTGAGTAATGCCACGATCTTCATCACTTTGGCCGATCGAGATGCATCAAGGGTCCCAATCGAAGGTGGACGATCACGCAGGCATGGCCAACCCTCGCGGAAATCAGACCATGCGGTATCAGTGACAGAGTTCCTTGGACCTCAAAATATCTCAGGCCCGAAAACTATCACCACTGAGGTCAGGGAGAGAGATTTCGAGCCCACGCTTGGGTTTGGCGGTATGGCGGAATTGGGAGGAATGGGGACTCACCGTAGCATGACACGAGAGGTTGTCAACTGCTGGACCTTTAAAGGAGTGCCAACACGGCCAAAAGATGGAGAAGGGTTCAGGTCCCTGCAATGGGATTTCGTTGACAGCGAAGTGGACAGCAATCCATCACTTCCACCCACCTTCCATACCGGCTTCGCGTTTGAACACAAAGGTCGACCGATAACCATGTGCGTCGAAGTCGAGGGTCGACTCAAGAGCAAGATGCAGCAAACCAGACATGGCATGAAGTTTCTTCGTTTCCGCTCCAAGTCGAAAGACACCGATAACTCGACGGCAATAGAAATAGACCTATCTTCAGCGGCTTCTGTCTTCAAGAATCAGCTTGATGGCGTTGCGGGCCGTCTAAACGAGGATATGAAGACGGAGATGGACGATGCCAGGGCGGTAGAGATGCCACTGCCTATGCCAGCAGCGTTGAAAGAGGCGGATCGTTTCGCAGATTTATCCTCCGAAGATTTTGATGATGTGGGAGATTTGGGGGTAGTTGATTTGGTGCAGTTTGCCACCTCAGAGATCATCCGTCAATCCTCGCCGGCAAAGAATGGAAGCGAGTCTTCCACGGGCGGCGAAACGCTAGTCAGTGACAACAGTGATCAGGGTATCTCAGACAAACCCGTCCGATCCGTCGGCCGAGTCACTGCTCAAAACGTCTTCAAGGTCTCTGAAGCCATGGCTCTGGCCCTCTTCAGTTGGGTTATGATGGTCGTGAAGCTTATGGGTTCGAGTCAACAATTACAGCTGACGGTCACACCAACTTTCACGAAGAAAGCAGGGTCATCACCAGACCATGGCAAAGACCGCACGCCGATTAGGAACAGTTGGGATGTTGGGATCGACGAGCACTTCAAAAAGCCAACGCAGTATCTCTTGCGCCCAAGACCCACGGCGACCACCAGTGATGGGCACCCGCAGATGATGGCCTCCCTTCTGAATGAGTCGAAGATACCAGAGCGTATCCAGGTGCAGCGTAGGGGGAGTATTTGATATTTCAATCCAGCTTTTGGCCTCAAGTAGTAAATACAGACAGACATCTTCCCTTGGAACCGGACTTGGGGTGATATTGGGAACGTTACAAATTGTTCTATCTTAGGATGTGAGGTAGAAGAAGGGCCAGCTCCGGGATGCTTCCGCTCGGACACCTGGGAGGCCAGTGCGGTACCGAAGGGTTCCTTCCGTCTGATCAACTGCTGTTTACTTCGTACGGATTTCCACCAAAACAATCGAGAACATCGCACAAGCTCACCCAGCATCAAAAATAAAGACAAGTAGGCAAAAGATCTGGTACGTCAAGGACAGGATTCGGACCTGCGCGACCGAAGCCACTGCCTAATCTGGAATCACGATATGATAGCAGGGCAGCCCATTAACCACTCTGGCACCTTGACTAGTGACTAGTAGTTAAGAATTTCAGGCGGGGAGTCGCCCATATTGTACGATAACCCCGCTTCACCCCGCTGTATATCCACAGGCGGAGTCGCGGGCACCACATTGGCAATAGCTCGTGGGGACTGGCGGGGTTATGATTGACAGTGGCATTGGTGAGATGCCGGTCAGTGATGGCCACAGTCTGTGTCGAGGCAGGGTCCATCCAACCGTGGATGATGTTGTATCACAGGGAGGGAAGGTTCGTCAAGCTATGCTGTACAAAGGCGTAAGAACACTTTTTGCGACACGTAGCATATTTGAAGGGATAAAAGCTATCTAGTATATTGATGCCAAAGTGCCAAGGTGGCCTGGTGAAACTACCTATTCATACCGATCTTGACCCGACCCAAAACTCCGAGCTGCCCATGTGATATCATCCTGAACCCATCTGAAATCCCAAAATTCCCTAAGCTCCTACAGTGTGGCTGAACACCTTGGCGGCCAACTGAGTGAGTAATCTCGCACGATCTGCCTGCGGAAGATCCTGCGATAGGTTAGCCTTCCACACGTAAAATGACAAGAATAGGGAGAGAGGCTGACGGGATCTACCCGGTAGATATCTCCAGATTCGCACTGACCTGGAAAACGGCATAGACACTCTTGCCCTTCGCATCTCGAACAGAGCCAAGCCTGTTTCCAGCGACAGCACCCGCCAGCGCACCAGGCATATTTCCGACAATGAAACCCAGAGCGCCACCACTAAGACCGCCAACCATGCTCCAGAACGAGCTCGTCGGGCGGTTCGTACCCTCCTCAGCCATGCCCTCTTCTCTCAGCATCTCCTCGAACACATCACCAAACTGTGCGTTATCTGCCTGCGCGCGCTGTCCCTCATTCTGCTGGCCTTGCTTCCCGCCGGTGAAGAAGTTCCATGCCCACGAGTAGGCGTTTTGTGTATTGGGGCCGGCCTGCGGGGGTACTTCCTCCGGGTCAGAATCGTCGTCGTCGGAAAAGTCGCCGTATGTTGTACCGGCGGATGCGCCGAATTTTTTTCGCTGGGCGTCGTATTCTCGGCGTCTTTGTGTGTCGGATAAGGTGTAGTATGCGTCGTTCACAAGCTGGAACTTGCGGGTGCGCGTTGCTCGCTCGGGCGAGTCGGCGGGAACCCTGTCTGGGTGTGTCTTCAAGGCGGCTCTGAGAAACAAAGATCAGTATGAGGAAGCTTCGGCTCGATATTTTGAATGACTTGCTTCTTGTACGCATCGCGAACTTGCTGGGTCGTAGCCGCCTCCGAAATCTCGAGGATCTTGTCTTTAGAGCAATGTTAGTCGCGGCTCGGTAACTATGGTGGGGTATTAGAGGGAAGCTTACAGTAGTTCGGAGGGGCGCCAGTGTTCGCCATCTTGATGATCGATAGGTCTCGAGGTACAAGAGGCTTGTTCTAGATATGAAAATAGCGATAAAGCCCGCAAGATAGGGAGTAGGAGAGGCTGCAGGCTTGAGGTGACCAAGTGGAAGATTGCGCTTGAGGTATCGCCTCCACCAGGAACCAGGCGTGACTGACACCAACGTCATTGTGGCGCATGAAACCAAAGGGTGAACGTGGCTTGATCGGCTTGCGGGGCATTGGCTCCGGGGGTTCCCCCACTTCCAGTCTTTGGACGTGGTCTGTGCGGTACCGCTGAAGTAAGGAGCGCACGGGCCAGTCTAGCAAGCACGTGCCCAGCTGCCCCTCCTCCTCCTTCGTTATCCTCCATCCCTGGCATCTTCTCACACCTCTTATACCTACCTTCAAGAGCTTGGTGATAGCTATAGCTCTTCAGAGCTAGAGTGTGGCCCATGGTAAGAGCCAAGATCGAATCATCAGCAGCGCTAAAGTCTTGGATCCGCCGCGGTGGTCGAACGCATTCAGTCACATCTAGTATAGACCTTCTCATCCCAAGTATCGACCCATCTGCCCGGATGAAGGATCTATCATTGTGCTCCGATGCCAGGAACGGTGACACTACTGTATTTTGAGGCTCTGTGATCAAGGAGCGCCATCGTCTAGTCTCGCGTACTTTTTTCGAGGCGAAGCAAGCTGCGAAAGGATCATGCCGCATTCGTTTTCGAAAACGGTCTCCGTCGAAGGTTTTCATCCCATTGGACCCTGGGAGGGAGTACCTACCCAACGACTCGTTGCACATATCAGAGACCCTGTGAGGCATATTGCGCGCATGTTCGAGCTTTCGAAGCTAGGTTCATGCTAAAAGGCTATTTTGAGGAAGTCAAAATGCAGGTCTGCCGAGAGTCGGCCGTTGCTTAGCAGTCATGCGAAGGCTCTTGGCGCTGCCATCACAAAAGTAAAAGTGGTTATTCCTACGGTTCGCGGTCCGAGGCCATTGTGTTGTCTAGTCACCGGCTCTCATCCCCTATTCTTGTGTTGGAGTTGAGCAACTGATACGCCGTATTTCACTGTAATTCATAGAATACCAGCTAGTCTCTGGAAACAAGTCGTGCCGTTCGATTGACCACCACGTTAACCAAATTGTCGGCTTTTTCGGACACACGTGCGTCCACATGGCATTACGAAACCAGCTTGGAGAATTCAGTACGGAAGCTCACTCGCAGCCACACATCAGCCCAACATTCCAGCTGTCCGTTCTGGGCAAAAGTACCAGTCCATCCGGCAGCCTCGAATCGCGAGCGATACTTGCGCAATATCGCACATAGGTGATCGACAACGTGCCATCCAGCTTGAGAAAATAAGCTAAGAAACGCGGGGGACCCGGGACGGAGAGTCGGAGTCGGCTTCCCGCGGCTGAGATGTCAGGTCAGAAATTACTCTGCGAAAGTCCCCGATCCTTGGCGAGCGGCACTTTTGTGCTGCATTTCTCCGCAATGCTTACCTTCGCCGCATGCACATTTGAACATCCGCCGAGTCGATTTCGTCACCACATAGACTTCCGATGTGTCAACGAACTGGGTTTGGCTTGAGTTTGGCAAATGGCTCTCGGCAGGAAACAAGGCAGCCTCGCCTGCGATGTTCCTGCACGTCTAAGGATGGGTTAGGAAGGTGTAAGAGACCAGACTCTGCCTTGCTAGAGGCAGCGAAGATCGTGAGAAAGTTTGAGAAGGGCAGGTACCTGCTTTTTTGATGTACCTTTGGACTACCTAAAGAGAACTGGATCAACGCCTCGCTGCCTTTCTTCTTCTGGGACATCAACGACACCACACCGCCGCCGCCCTCTCATTACCGCTTTTGGCATCTTTATCCTGCATCCTATGGTTCTCGAATGTCCGACATTGTTTAGACCAAAAAAGGTTTGCAGAAAAAGCATATTATTTTCTCCCTTTACGAGCCATTATATATAGGGACCAGCTCGTCCCCGAGACCACACTGGATGAACCAGCTCCAACCGATCCTCGCCAGCTTCCTTCTCTCTCATTAACTTGGGCGTCAGCTTGTCGGAGAAAGGCACTTCTGGTTCCAGCATCAAGCGCCTCAACTTCCCTATCCGGCTCGCCAGGTCGCTTTGTAATCTCAAGGTCTATCTATCCGGTACTCCAACTGACCAAAAGCCCCTTAGCTGACTTGTGATGCTAGCTGCGTACGGACATTCCAAGTACTGCTCGACTGTCGGCAAAATGGCTCCCCTCATTGCGGCCGCGGACGGCAGCAGCCTTTGCACCACACCGATCTGCCTCGAGATCGCTTCAAACATTCTAATGAGTCTCGCACCGAACCATACCGACATCGATCCGTGCACAGACTTTGACAAATGTGCGTCGCACAACTCCCATTGCCTTTTGTTTCCCCCCACTCGCATTGCTTACAGCTCTACTTTCCCCGCGCCCAAGCTCCCGATCCATGTCTCATATATCTCTTTTCGTTATTCTCCTACTCGGGACTGCCGCGGATTCTGTTTGTTGCATGACTCTGGTTGGCTGATACACTTTCTTGGCAGATGCGTGCTCTGGATGGAAAGCAGCCCATGCGCCTGGGGCTGGCCAAGGGAAGGCCTCATCGCTTGGTATTGTCGGCAGCGACGTCTCGATAGTGCTGAAAAACATCGTAGAAGGCACTTACCCCAATGGACCAGATGCCGGATTCATCACCACATCGCTGTCACAGGAGCAAGTAGGCGTGGATCGGGACAACTTTCAGATGATCGTGGAAACATACAATGCTTGCATCAATGACACCGCCGTCAAGGCTGCAGGCTTGGGTCCCCTCATCAACATCGTCAATCGCGTCGCGGAGGCCTTCCCTGTCGCTAATACCACAGAGGACAAGGATCGCAAGATCTCGAAGAATGATGCCAAAAATATGGGAAAAACACTACTGTTCTTTGGCCAACTCGGCATTTCTACGTTCGAGACAGTCACTGTTGACTTTGATGACCAGAATACGGTATCTTGACCTGGGGCCTGAGGACCTTCCACAATGGAGCCATGCTGATTTCATGCAGAACAAGACACTCATTAACGTCATCCCCGGGGGCACGCCGTTGCTTACAGGCTCAGTAGCCCGAAATAATGATACTGTTGCGGAGTATGAGCGCATTATGGCAGCACTGCTTCAGGCAGTCCATCCGGCCAAACTCGATGTCATGAATGCTCAGAGACTCGCTCTGTCTGTTACTAAGTTTGAGAAGGAAGCGGTCGCTTTGCAGGCCAAGGATGACAGTAAAGCAAGCCCAACTGTGAGTGAACTTCTAACCTTTAGGTCTGGTCGAATAACTGACACTGGTCGTCAAAGTCGCCAGCAAGGAAATTCAAGTTGGAAGAAGTCACAAGCGTGGCCCCAGAACTCGGCCACGATTTCGTCATCAACAACTTGATTCCCGCGGACTATACCCCCGATCACCTTGTATTTTCCCCTGCCTACTTTGGCAACCTATCTCAGCTTCTCTCCAACACTTCCGTCGAAACAGTCCAAGGATTCTTCATCTGGAAAACAGTAACCACCTTCTCCAATTTCGTCGAGACAGATGTCACGGAAAGGTTGAATGATTTGAAATCAAAGCTTCGCGCTACAGATCCGGAGTTGGTTGGCAAGCCACCGAGATGGCAGCAGTGTGTCGGTCATGTTGATGAGGGAGTCCCATGGAGTGCTCTACCTGCTGGGCTCGGCTGGATTCTCAGTCGATTCTACCTCGATAAGGCATACTCAAACGAAGCTCGTGACCTGGCTGTCAATATGATGGGCACGATCCAGCAGGCCTTTATCTCGCGCCTCGGCGAAAAGGATTGGCTAACATCCGAAGTCAAGAAAGAGGCTGAGGTGAAGGTCAATGCCATTTCCAAAAAGATTGGTTACCCCAACGTGTCTCCGGACACCACAAACCCACGCAAGCTTGCAGACTATTACACTGGACTGAAGGTAACCAACTCCTACTTCGACAACGCAGTTGCGTTTGCCACTTTCTCCAGCAAGTCGTTATGGGCTCTACTCGGCAAGCCTGCTGATAAGAACATTTGGCTCCAAACCCCGTCGACAACTAATGCTTATTACTCTACAACCTTCAACGACATCGTTATCAATGCTGGTATACAGCAAAAGCCCCTCTATAATGTTGCTTATCCCTCATATGTCAATTATGGCGCACTTGGTTCTGTTCTTGGACATGAGCTCACCCACGGCTTTGACAACAGCGGGCACAACTACGCTGCTAATGGCTCTCTCACAAACTGGTGGGATGAGCAGAGCCTCAAGGCATTCAGTACCCGTACCAAATGCTTCGCAAACCAGTATCAGCAGTTCACAGTCATTGCGCCTAACGGTACGAATGTTCCCGTTCGAGGTAACTTCACACTCGGTGAAAACATTGCAGACGCTGGAGGAGTGGCGACAAGTTATGCGGCATGGAAGAAACTACAGGCAGACAAGAAGTCTCAAGATTTCGACTTGCCTGGCCTACAGAGCTTCTCGCATGACCAGATCTTCTTCATGAAATGGGCACAAAACTGGTGTGACGTATCGTCTTCGAAGGTGTACGACGTTTACCTGCTTGGAGCCGATGTGCACTCTCCAGGCTTCGCTCGCATCAAGGGGCCCTTGGATAACTCGAAGGACTTCCGCAGCGTTTTCAACTGCCCTCAGAGACAGCCTACTTGTGAACTTTGGTAGATATCACGTGGAGCCACGAGATTTCGATGGCCTCGATTTCCTGAGGAGGGAGTATCGCCGGCATTTGATGCTGCCGGGCTGTGATGTTGGGGACTCCGCCCTTTGCTCGCTTCCCGAGCTTTTACGCATCATAGATCAAATGAAGAATCCTTTAGCTGCCTACCACTCATGCGTGAGTAATCTTCCATGTGATAGTTCTCGGCCATCTTGCGTTCCTTTCTGAAAGTCAAAGTACGGGCATCTGTCAACACAAGGAAGCGCGCACTAGTATGAGCAAGACTCAACATCGACTCGAATGGTGATCTCAGCATCTGTAGGAAGGTATATTTATATTAGTGTATATATCTAATCATCCTATTGCGTCTCACTTACCATGATTTCCGGTATGGCAGAAAGATCGGGCGCCTCAAAAAGGGTCGATTCCTGATGGGTCCATCGTCAAAATCGGATACCGAGCACAGCACTCGTCCCGAAACACGGCCCCACTCTCGTCCGGATCGGCACCGGCTGTGACGGAGGAAACAAATATTGCCCTAGCCCTTGATATACAAGCATCCGTACGGGTGCTACTCTATCATTGCCCGCGAGTCACTCTCCTAGGAACAAAGTATCAAGAATTTCTCATATTGGCATTCGGGGGACAAAGCAAATGGTCGTCTGTCCATAAAGGATCCATCAAAAGTGGATATTCATCTTGTTCCCTAAGCAAGTGGCACATGTGGATTTTGGTGAGATTGGTCGTCGTGTTGGAACCGGACCGCGATGGCGTCGGCCAACCGAGGCTGCGCCTCTCTTACTTGCACGATAATCCCAGATATCCACCCGCCGACGCGCTTGCCCACGCGACTGTACTCCGTACCTCTACATCAGATAACCTTCGGTCGATTCTCCTCCATTCAATTGACAATCGATCTCGAATTATCAAACATCTCTCCTCGTCTGTCAGCTTTTCCTGTAGGCTGGATCGCGACTGTGTGGACAGTCTCCGCCCCTTGGTGGAAGCACTGGATCTGGACGACGCAGTGACTCTCCAGCAGGCTCCCCTCTCCTCGGACTTCATAAGATGGAGCTATCTGGAACGAAAAGACTTATGGGGCGCAGCGTGCCCCCCTTCCATGCATCACGACAAAGAGTGTCACGAGTTGTCGGGTTCTTCTCTCCGCATGCTCGCTCTCTGCGTCACGATTGGTGCGATGGACTGGGAAAATCAGAAGCGGGCCTTGACGACCTTGGACAGGCTGATGGCCTGGGGCGCGAATCAGGTCGGCATGCGGGACACTGATCCGGACCCTTTCAATCTGTTCGTCTACTTGATGAAGAAGCTCGTGGTGAGCAACTTGCGAGAAAACGAGCCGCTTCCCACTCCGCTAGGCTCAATTGGCCGCTTTACTCGACTTCTTGCGTAAGAGGGAGCGCAATTCCCATGCGGAAAGGATGATCTGCAAGGCGTTACTCGTGTGTATGAAGCCTGGAAGAGTTGTGTTCGCGACTAACATGAGAGGCCGGATATTTCGCCGGAGTGGGCGTTTGCCATTCGCGATGACTTTGATGACTGTGATGACTGGTCTGGAAGGCCCAAGGTTGAGAAGATGTTGAGGCAACACGGGCTTATCGATGAAGATAATTACGTCGAAGAGGAAGACAGTGACTATGTTGAGAGTACAGAGGGAGATGAAGACAAGAATGGAGAGAAGATCGCAGGGGAGGGGCTTGAAAGGGGCACAGATGATGATGAAGTGGAGGATACAGATGAGCACAAAGAGGAGTATGTGTATGAATATGAAGTTCAGGAATTAGAGGATAGCGAGCTTAAAGCATTATCGGGGTCAGAACTAGGAGATGAAGACGATGACCAGGATGAGAAGATTTTTGATGAGTATATGGCTGAAGGGAGGGTGTTGGTGAGGTCAGAGGCCAGGTTGCTGAGAGCGATGTGATTACGAATGTGAGCCTCTAAGAGATCGATGGACGTGGATCTGAGCGTGGACGAGATTGCGGCCAGGGGCGCCCCTCTCAACGGCATGAGTAGGAACTGAAGTGAGATGTACGATTAAGTCGAGGATGATACCCATGCACACACATGGTTCTAAAAGTTGAAGTCCTCGAAAACAAGATGGTTGTCAAAGTAGTAGAAGAAAGCATCTTTATCTTTTTTCCACTTTGACGCAAACGTCCACAAGGGCAAATTTCCAAGTACCGCTCAAAATGACTTGATATCTCATTCAAAAGTGGCAGGTTCATATCAGACCTGTCATAAAAACACCCGAAACCCGCGGAACGCCGTAACACCCTCGCCCGATCATGGCGCCGCATGCTGAGCTTGCTCCCTGAGAGATCCTCAAAAACGATACTCTCTGTGGGGGCATTACCCATATTAGCCCGACGTCCTCGTCGTAATTGATAGCTCAGATGAGACCATCGAGTATCTATCCATCCCATCTCAGAAAGCAGATGCCTCCTCCATCTCTCTGGTATACAACACCCCTTCAATCTCAGGCGTCCACTTCATCGTCTTCCTAACCTTCTGAAGCGCCGTCCTCAACTCCCCCCACGTCCAAAACTCATCCATCAACCCATGCGACTCGGCATATAAACTCGGCAGACGGTACTCATCCTCGGCAGGACCCAACAACCTCACGATCCCGGCGCTCACGATATCTTCCTCTGGCTGCGGGAGCGGCTTAAACTCGATAAAGACAGACAACCTCTTCATATCAGTGAAACAGCGCGAACAAGCCCGCAGCGCCTCCGCGATACGCCGCTCATCGAGGAGAACGGACCAGTGGATCCCAATATTCTCGATGCCCGGTTTCGTGGTCCAGAGGGAGTCCCACGCACCGAGACGTGTGCGATAGACGAGCGGCGGGAGGTAGATGATGTCCGAAGACGGGACGAATTCCAGGGGCGGCGGCGACGGGCGGGAATCCTTTTGGACGTCGTACGGGTGCGGGAAGGGCCGGAGGAGGGCGCGGGTGGCTTTTCGCGATTCGGCGTTTGTGAAGAGACCGGCGGCGCGTGGGTGGCGGTACTCGTGGGGAGGCTTGATGAGGTGGGTGTCTTCTCGGTATTCGAATACGCGGGGTTGCGAGCCAAAGGTTTCCCAGATGAGGAGTCGGAGTTCGAGGGGGAGTGTCAGAAACGGATGACAGCTTTGCGGGGGTGGGGGATGTGGCGATGTCATTGTTGGTTGTGAAGATGTGAGGATGGCGTTTGTGGTTGACATTATCAGGGTTGCGTTTGCAGCGGCCGTGTGGGTTAAACTGATCGGCCACTGTACCCGTATCGTTCTGTGCTTTCTTAATTACTGGTTCGTTTCAATCGTGTTAAATGGTAGTCTGCGACTTTGAAGATGTTGGTGACTCGAAGGCACTTCGTTATCTGACGTATGTAACCGCGAAGTGAGATAAGATGAGATGAGATGAGGTGAGATGGGACGGAAAGAGATGACAGGACGTCAGCCTTTTCAGCTCTCCGGACATCGGGCGGCTGAAGTATGTTGGCCGCCCCGTCAACCCGTCAACGGGAATGCCTGCATCGACGACCCTAGCGGCGGGAACGTGGTCTTACTTTGGCAGCCATTAGCAATTAGCCCTCGGCTTGAGGAAAAAGTCTCTCGTGGTAAAATAAATTACTGCACCCTGGGATGGAGGGATCTCCTGTCATGACGTCGGATGGTTTTTGGCCCAATGAACCAGCGTGGACTACGTGGTAAACCTCTTACCGCCTGGTGCTATGCACCATCCGGGAAAAACGGGTTGAACCTTGTCAGTTTGTCCTGCATCATAAAACTTTGAGCGATGGGCATGAATTTCTTATCCGCATGTTATTCCCAGATCTTGTCTGAAGACTAGCATGCGAATGTAGCGTTGCGACTAGAGAATACGTCGTAGTCAAAAGACTGGAATGACTAAGTGCGCTGAGCTCATCCGGAAGATCCGGTATCCAGAGCGGCACTTGCTCCGACGCCGACAAAGCTTGAAGAAATAAAAAAACGAAAAGACCCTTCGTCAACGTTGCGTGATCGGGCCTGGATTCTCTCGCGACAATCAAGGCTGGTTCTCCACCGGTGCCCGCTCATCCCTTGAGTCGGTCACGGTCTGTGACTAGTGTCCGGCGGCGTGACCGAAGGGATGCCCCATGCAGCATCGTGCCGTCACTCACCTACGAAGGAAGTACTTCCAAAGTTCCAAAGTTACAAAGTCCCAACATGGTTATCTGGCGAGGGATTATCTTGTTGATTGCGGCAATCAAACCCACAAACTTACCCAGCAGCTCCTAGCATGTTTACTCATTCGCGTTTACTCATCAGTGAGGGAGATTTGGCGTGCTCGCCTTATCTCTTTTGAACCGGGCAGGGTGCAATTGAGTTTACTGGCGCAAAAAATGTCGGGAAAAAACGAAAGCTTGGGTGGGTGGATCCATTGACCGCGGCGGCGGCGCGGTGCGGGTCATCGGCGATGTGGGTATCTTCCGCCGGGTAGGTCACCTGCGGCGTGCGAGACCGGCTTGGCCTACCTGTGACAGCATGTAAAGGTATCACCCCATCTTTTCTCCATAAAACGACTGTCCTATCTGCAATTTAGAAAGGGCGTCGTTGAGCAGTGTTTCCGAGAATGAGATAGAGCGAGGGAACGCACTGTCTCTCGCGTACCAAGAAGATTGCCAGTCTTCATTCTCGCGAGAAGAACCTGCCAGGATACGCTTCAGGCCTTATTTCAAGTTTGCGGTATTTGCCCGAGCGTACTTAATCCATCAAACGTCGGCCCGAGTGGAATAAAGCACTTGAATCGGAGAACTGAGCGGCCCGCAGGAGTGGGTCCGGAAGACGGGAGCCTATGCTGGCGGGGCCAGTCTTCCGGCCAGATGCCGGGGCCGAGTTTCAACGGTGGGCGAGATAGTCACATGAAAAACACCTTACCAAGAATCTTTCTCCAGCTTCGAAATATCCTCTTGCACCAGAACCTTAACCAGAGAAGTAAAAGAGACGGAGAAAGGTTAAGCTATCTCCTTTGCCCTCTCAGGTTCCCGTTGGTGTTCACCCTGATGACTTGCACTGAAGGATATCATTCCGCTTACATCTCACCTTCTTTTCATTTCCTCAGAGAAATCCAATCAATCCTAGCAACTCAAACAAAAACCCTGACTTGATTGCATCGATCGTCTTCCCATACCACTCATTACAACACAAATCCTTCACCTACACCATGACGCCGACTACACCGCGCGTGGGGTTTCCTGCCGAAACCTGGCCACACGTCTGCCAATTTCTAGGAAGTGTCGACGTGGCTGCCCTCGCTCAATTCAGCATCGGATTCCGCAGGAACTTCCAAAAAGAAGTATACCTCACAGCGATACGCGATGGCAACACCGACATCATCACCAGGAGCGCCGCGACAGGCAACCTGGCCACTCTGCAGCGCATAGCGTCGCGATCTATTCAGCAGATGCTCCCCAGAATCTCAAAGACTGGATGAAAATGCAGCGGAAGCGTAACAGCAAGATTCCAAGCGGGCAAGGGGTCGATGTCGCACTCTCGAAAGCCTGCTTCACGACGCCCTTGCACCTCGCCACGAAGGGCGGGCACTGCGATACCGTCCAGTGGCTCCTGGGGCAGCACTCCGTCGATATGGAAGTGCCGGCGAGGTTTTTGTGTCAGTGTATTCCCCTAGGTACCTGTCAGGATCTCGCGATTCGCCTCTTGGTAGGGGCAAGCCGTACCGGCCTGGACGCCCCTACACGTTGCCATCTGCAACCACTAAGTACCCGTCGCCCGCCTACTGCTTTCCTGCGGCGCCTCATCTCGAAGCGTAAACGTGGACCGTTCAAAGTTTCCCCGCTTTAACCAGGTCTTCTTCAGTTACTGGTAGAGTTTGGATCCTAACGATTACGTAGGTCCGGCGGTGGTTTCAGCGGTCCAATCCGCCGCGTTTTCCGGCAACAAGCCCACCATCACGAAGCTCGTACAGCGCATGGGTGTGGACATCAACAAAAGAGTGGAAGAAGGCGGTGCGACGCCGCTCTACTATGCTTTAGCGGCATATAATGCGCAATCGGTGGCTCTCTTGCGAAGCCTCGGGGCGAAGCCGGAGCAGTCCTTCGTGTCGGACGTGTGTAATGTGAATTACGAAAACGCACTCGAACTCGTTCTGGCCATTGAGAAGACCGATCCTATCACCAACATTTTCTAATTCTCTTCGGCCATGGCAACGTGAGATGCTGCACATTGTCTCTTTTCAGAACCAGGAGCGGCCTGGTGCTGCCTCCAGGAGGCGACGAGAAGGTCGTCTCGTCGAAACTGAGACAACTACTCTCGAAGGCGAGGTCCCAGCACTGGACCATGGATTACTACAATCCTGTGGCACCGAGTCTAAACAAGATGATGTCGAGTCTCTTGCGGTATACCAAAGAGCAACATGAACCACACTTTGTGCCTCTTGACCAAGAGATGCTCGATTGTTTCTTGATTGCATGCCAATGCAGCGGTCCAGCGCTGAAGACTTCCACCCTTAACAGATTTTTGTTGGATACAAACATTGATCTCCAAAATATTGTCAATCGTCAGCTTGGGTCTAACGTTATAGAATAGTTCTACACCAACGACGCCGAAGGCTTCGTTCATTCAGACATGGACGCCGTGGATGATGGTTCCGGCGTTATAACCTGCACCATTGGCATGCTCGCGCTGCACACGACAATCGCCGCTCTCCAACCCCGACCCTTCCTCATAAAATACGACGGAGTCAATGAAGCATTAATTCGTACCATCAAAGGGCTAATTACGGAAGGAGCTTCCCAAACTATGACACCTGGCATGGATCCGAAATGGAGTCCGCTTCATCACTTATTCGACACTATCACGGAAACTTGGCCGCGAAACTGTGGAACAACGGCTTTTCAGGGTGGCAAGATGGCTGAGGAATTAGCCAGCGTGGTCAAGGTTCTCGGGGAGGGTGGCGGATGATTTCCCTTGGCAGAGGAAGAGGATGAGGCCATGTTCAGCACTATACGAGCCTATCATGACGCCGTCGAGTGTGTGTTGCCAATTGTAGCATATAAGAGGGAATGTGTGGTTACTAAGAGTCGCAATGATATTGAGAGCAGTATGCCGCCCAGAGTTCTTGAGGTTTGGAAGACCTTGACTTCTTGAGGCGGTTCTTAAGACGTTGGGATGGTTCCTTTCTACGTACCTGCGTACCTGCAAGCCAGTATATAGAAAGTGAATAGTTGGATCGCGCCTTCTTTTCTTGTCACTTTGATATGGAAAGGTATGTGTTGGGAGAGTAACGTCCCCATTACATCGCAGTACGTTGCCATAACCATAGCTGCCTCCTCAAGCTCCATCAAACCAAGCAGTAGTGACAATGCCGCTCGAAGACGACGTTCATCTCACGCCGTCCAGCTTCACCTTGAGTTTCCTAGCCCATCTGATTTCGACATCCATCGGCGAATGTCCTGACATTCGAACTTCCCCCACCGAAATCGATCATCGCCTTAGTTCCGTTTCTCAGTTGAAACCCAGACGTTGGAATCCAACGCAGGTCTAGAGTCTAGCGTCGACCCCGGAAGCTCTAGTCGCGCTTCCCCTAGTCCACTCAAGCCTAATAACCTAGCTTCAACCTATTCGAGACCGCTTCCGCCCGTGCCCGCGCCCGGACAGTAAACGGGCAAAAACGCCTCTCTCATACGCCTCCTTCCTTTCCAAAGAAAGAACGCCGGCGCCGGATGTAGTGTCACAAACAGACTTCGGAGCCGGTTGGACGTTTCTGACATCTCAGATCGTCGTCCAGTTTATCCAATGGCGTCTGAGAAGCTCGATCTGACGTTGGCCGCCACTAGAGCAGTTCATCACACCGTCGCCGGGTGCTCTTATCCACATACTTCAGAAAGAGGGTGCCCCTGAAACTAACTGGTTAAACCAGACCTTCAATCTGATATCGAATCATCGCTTCTCATAACACCATGGCAACCATACCCATCGGCGATCAGTCAGAACGCTATCTTGTAGCAGTCTCGGGAATAGCTTTCCTTCCCCCGCGAACTACAAACATCCAACCACGCCATCCACGCCATCCATGCCATCCTACCTCACCTTGAGAGCCGGACCATCGGTTCCGATCTCTCTAACGTCTGAGCGCAGACTTGGGAGGGCAACACTGCAGCGGTGGCAGTGTCGAGAGCATGTCAAAAAGCACGCCAGCTTCTCGGACGTCTGAACGCGAACATGCAGCTCGGACTCGGGAAACCCATCGCGAACTGTCAAGACTCTGCCGAGACATTGAAGAGAAGAAATGTGAACCACAAGAGAAACTCGACCAGATGCGTGGTTGAACCAGATATGCCCAAAATCAGGTCCAATGCCACCGTCCATCATAGTTCAACTCACACCAGGATCCCATCTAAATAGAAAGCAATGCAACCATTCGCGCCGTCATCGATGATATGGAACCTGCATTAGCCCTCCCCCCACGATTCAACTACGAAATATTACTCACTAGTAATTACCACTGCAACCCATCCTTCGGCTTCCATCCGCTATCCAAAACCCGAGAAACACACACACACACACATATATATACAGACTATCAGAGAATCCTACCTTACGCACTTAATGCAAGGCACGCCGCGCGCAAAGTATCGAAATACCGTAGACAGGCGCAAACATTCCTTTCTTCTGCCCTGTGCCCCCCTGTGCCCCCCTTCCTGCATGTCGCGCCCGCGCCGTCGCCGCCACGACGCCATCGCCGCAGCCAAGAAGTGGTCGTACCTTAGATTGCCCTGTAAGATGCATCCCAGGCCTGTGCTTTGCCAACCAAGACACACATGCGCGCGCGCCCGCGAGCCGCAAGCCGCGAAGCCCGCAAGGAGTGCTCCGTAGTTAGCATCATATTTCGTACCACACACTCTTCACCACTGGTTCACTAACAAAAGCCCATCCGGGCGGCGCGTGGCGGGGAGAGGCAGAAGAAACAGAAGCCACAGTCGCGAATGGTAAGTCAGAGAGAGTCGAGACATGGCACCGGCAACGTCCCGCCGCTCGTGCCGTCCTGCCGCCGTCGCATCCACCCAAGAGACGCGGAAACTCTTTGGTCTTGGCCCCCTGCCGAATTCGGTCCAATGATGGGTACTTGTCTCACGCAGCAGCTATCAAGTTCAGGTTTCTTTCCCCCGCTCCATTGATATGGAGTCAGATAAAGGTCTGGCAGGTAATCCGTAGTCAATTACTAACCCAAGAAACCTGTCATTTTCCTGGTGTTGCCAAGAACGTAGATTAAACGCGCAAAAGGCCGAACAGCCACCTTCGCAATCGCCTCCCACCATCCGGAAAAGTTCAAGCCTCGAAAGCTCTCCCCAATCCACTGCAACCCTATCGAAACGGCGCACTGGGGGTGGCAGGGTAGGTATCCGTAGTCATGTAGGCAATATGGTGGTGGATAAGTTCACAAACCCAGGGATGCCATGCCGTGCAGTATCCCGTACGCTACGTCCGTACGCAGCCGCGTCCACCCCCAAAAAGCCGCACACGCCATTCGCCATCGAATCATGAACGGCCCGGCCAGAGTTTGCGGCTTTCTCTCTCTCTCTCTCTCTCTGTCAGACTGTCGTCAGAACTACAGCTGACTTCATGTCAAGCCTTTAAAGTTTTGCCCGGCATACTTTACATTCCACCATGTGGTCTCTACTACTCTAGCAGATGACTAAGTAAGAGCGGGGTATAGATATAGCATCTCGAATCGAAAAGAGAAATGAAAGGATCAAAGACCAAAACAAGGGAAAGAAAAGAATCCCCCGACGCAACGATAATCAAATCCTATCGGCGCCAAGTTATCCAAACGCTCAACGCCCTCAACTTGGGCTAACCCATGATCTCCATCACCGACCCTACGCCAGCGTACCATTGTACCAAAGCCCCCACCCCCTCCTCCTCTAACCACATGGCGAACGGAGACCTCCTCAATGCCTGACCATGCTTTGCCGTTGCGGGCTTGCGGCGTTGTCTTTTGCCTTCCAGAGCCCCAGAGAGCCCCTCCCAGAGTCCCTCCCTATTCCCCGTTGCCAATGGAGTATTAGCAAAAAGGCCTGGCCCAGACAAGAAATCAAAAAATGACCCGGATCCTCTCCCTCAGTCCCTCTCTCCACCCCCACCCAACCAGCGTCGCGGGAAGTTTTGAAACCAGGGGTTCCCCGGCTGCAAGTGACTGCAAATCGCCCGCTGCCAGATGGAATGATGATGCCGGGGACCCAGTTGAGAAAGAGGGAAAGGCAAAGAAAAAAAAAAGATGGGACCTGTCAGTGGCCCTACCAGTCTTACCAGAGTCAAGAATCGCCAGGCCTCCCATGGGCAACTACTATATGCGCCACGCTGATGGGCTCAGCCCCCCAAAAAAAAATCCAACCCGACTCATGAACTGTCCATGTCAGCCGAAGGAAAATAGCTTTGAGGCATGAAAAAGAGTTCATTAACAAAAAGATCGGATTATTGGGGGAAAAAAAAGAAACCAAAGACGAGTCGCGCCGGTAAAGCCGAAGACTGCGTACGCTCGGATTCGTCATGCGATCATGGGAATGTAGCCTCGGGTTAGAGCAGGGACCCACAAGTGTGGCTGGGGAGGAAAACCGGATTGAGGTATCATGAGTTTTTTGTTTTCATTATGGATCGAGTCCACTTGCTACGTAAGAGTCCAGGATGGACTAGTTCAGAACCCATCCTCTCCATGCCATGCCTCTGTGAAAGTCGCCTCCAACGCTCGATGCCTATGCCTAGCACCTGAACTGTCTGGATGTGACTGAAATGCCCTTTTTCGAGCTAAATGACGAAGTCCATGTCGCGAATAAAGGACGACGCTCTCCATGTGGTATCATATCAAAGACGAATCGCAAAATTGTGTAAATCCAGCCAAAGAAGAATGTGTCGAGGAATGACGGGGTCGTAATCATCTAATATCCGTTGCACTGATCGCGTTTGGTATAAATCAGAAACGGGCGTGTCAGGGTGTTTAAAGTGTGGCGCTGGCGCTGGCGTTAATCAAGGCGTGGCGTCCTCATCGACCAGCGTCTGTAGTGTCATGGGGTCCCGGAGGCGTCGCGCCTTGTGAATGGCGACAAGGTAGTCGACGAGGCCTTCAGCATCTGCGCGCAATGCGTCGAGCTCCTCCTTGGTGCACCCGGTTGTTTGGGAGTCCTTGCTCGG